TTGTTGGTGCTGACACCCTTTTTTGGTTTTGGTGAATCCTGCTTTTTCATAAAGCTCCCTGGCATTTTCTACAGTTTGTGTGAGAGATGGTCACTGTGCTATATATGTCTTATGGGCCATTTTGTACTCATACTTGTCCTGGCTGTGTGTGCTGTAGCTCCTGTCATCGCTGTAAGTTCAACTTTGTCAATAAAGAGAATGTCTCAAATTGGATGAAAGATGGCTGTGTGGTATGGTTTGTGGGATGGATTCCGATGTTCTGTTTTGTGTTCTGCACATGGAATTATCTCATTTTCCTCATTCTAAACTTGGCCAACTGACTAGTCAGGTGGAAGCCCTTGGAGTTCCACAATGACTTCATAGAGGAGCAAATTTGGACTCAGGGACACCTGCCAAGATGTCTCAGTTGAGATGGAAGTCGAAAACCAATATATTTCTGTCAAAAATAGCCAGCAAGGTTACTTGGGAAGAACAACTTGGGTCAGGGTGAGTGAGGGTTTTGGGTTAAAGTTGTCTCCCCAAGATTGGACATGTGGGTCCTGAGATATGTTTGTCTGTAACCAAAGGCTGAACAAGAGGGCATCTAGTAACTGTTTCCAGGACAGCTGGAATGCGTTTGGTCTTAAGTCATCTGCCCATGATTTCTTACAAACTAATTCCTCAAACCAGTGACTCTCTTCCCATCCCTAGCATGCTCCCCTAGTGGCTGTCCCATCCCCCTTCGCCTGTTTCCAGGTTTGTGTCCTGCCCCACCCCTCCACTTCCCCCAGAACCAGTAAATGTGAGGGAGTAGTAAAGGCCAATGGGGATGATGTCTCCCGATCTTAACCTGTTCTCTAATGCTAAATAGAAATTTAATTTTTTTCTAAGATTTTATTTATTCATGAGCGAGCACGAGCAGGGGGGAACGGCAGAGGGAGAAGCAGACTCCCCACCAGACGGAGCCCGATGTGAGACACGATCCCAACACCCTGAGATCATGGTCTTAGCTGAAGGCAGACAGTTAACCATCTGAGCCACCCAGGTGCCCCTAGAAATTTAATTCTACATCTCAGTTTTCCCCTCCCTTTAGGAGTAGAGGGCTAATACGTCTCTCTGCTTCTTATTCTTACTCTTGGCTCTTTCTTGGATGTCTCTTGTCCTCAACCAGTATTTTTTTTTTTCAACCAGTATTTTTAAACTTGTTTCAGTCCATAGATGTACACAGAGAAGTGTGTTTTGATGAGATACATACTTACCACTTATGAAACTTAGTAATTTGAAATAATTAAAAATATTTAAGTAGTTTTAGGAATAATTATAAAGAGCTCCCCTTTGTCCAGATTGACTAATTGTAAACACTTTATCATTCTATATGTGTGTTGAACATCTGAGAATAAATTATGTCGTGCCTCTTTGCCCTGAAATACTCGTGTGTATTTCCTAAGAACAAGGACATTCTCATGGGACTCCTGGGTGGCTCAGTGGTTGGGTCTGCCTTTGGCTCAGGTCATGATCCTGGGGTTCCTGGATCCAGTCCTGCATCAGGCCCCCCCATGGGGAGCCGCCTTCTCCCTCTGCTGATGTCTCGGCCTCTCTCTCTCTGCCTCTCATGAATAAATGGTAAAATCTTAAAAAACAAAAACAAAAACAAGGACCTTCTCTCTTAAAACCACAGTACAGGGATCCCTGGGTGGCGCAGCAGTTTAGCGCCTGCCTTTGGCCCAGGGCGCGATCCTGGAGACCCGGGATCGAATCCCACGTCGGGCTCCCGGTGCATGGAGCCTGCTTCTCCCTCTGCCTGTGTCTCTGCCTCTCTCTCTCTCTCTCTCTCTCTCTCTGTGACTATCATAAATAAATAAAAATTAAAAAAAAAAACCACAGTACAGTAGTCAAAAGCAGGAAACAACATTAATCCAATTATTAACTAAGAATATAGAGTCCATGTTCATATTTCACCAGTGGTCCTACTAATAGCCCTTAGAGCCCCCTCTTCACCTCCTAGCTCCCACAGCTCTAAATCCTGGAGTTCTCCTGCCCAAAGTGCTTTGAATCTGATTCTCTGTGGCCTGTTGCCCAGTGCATCATTTTTGAGGGCAGCCCACTAGGTTTGAGGTGGCCATGCAACAGTGGAGGTAAGGTGTCTTGTTGACTTGCCACCAGCCACAAGCCACTTAACCAGGGTGAGTCAGGTGTGCTGGGCGGGCAGAGGACTTGGGGGCTGGCTCTCTCCGCACTGTCAAATTCTGGCACTTAGCTGAGAAGTTAAGGAATTCTAAATCTGAACCTGGTTTTCCAGGTTGTTATGGAATGTATTTGTCAAGGTAGCAGAATAGAGTGTGTTTTATTTAATAGTATATTGATTTCTAAGTACTTAAAAAGACTTGCTGTGTGGACCTATATTCTCTCTCTCTCTCTTTTTTTATTCTCTTATTCTCAGCCCCATAATCGTTAAATGTAGTCCTGTTTACAATTATGTGTATGTATGTGTGTATACATTCACACATGTTCTTGTGTGTGTAAATACATACCTATCTGTCATTTGTTCATAAAAATTGTTATCATCCTGTGCACTCTTTTTTGCATCTTATTAGTATTTATTAGTACCTTATGGAAATCCCTGCTAGTCATCTGCTAAAGGCAAGATTCATCCTTTTGGGGGGGTGGGTGTAGGTGTATTGATGCACTCATCCATTCCTTTTCCATAGCCATTTACCTTATTTTTTTTTCTGCTATGAATGATGCTGTAGCAACCACTCCTGCCCAGTGGTCTTTCACAGGAGAGTAATGTAAATCACTAACCACCACTTGATCTACTCCACCAAAATAAATCCTAAGGATTGCCATGAGTGTTTTCTTAATTAAAAACGGAGCAACGGGGCAGCCCAGGCTCAGTGGTTTAGCGCCGCCTTCAGCCCAGGGTGTGATCCTGGAGACCCAGGATCGAGTCCCACGTCAGGCTACCTGCGTGAGGCCTGCTTATCCCTCTGCTTGTGTCTCTCTCTCTCTCTCTCTCTCTCCCCCTCTGTGTCTCTCATGAATAAATAAGTAAAATAAAAAATAAAAAAAGGAGCAATGTGGGGCACTTGGGTGGCTCAGTCAGTTAAGTGTCTGCCTTTGGCCCAGGTCATGATCCCAGGGTTTTGGGATTGAGCCCTGCATCAGGCTCCTTGCATAGCAGGGGTCTGCCTCTCCCTCTTTCTCTTTCTCTCCATCTAAAATACATAAAATAAATAAATATCTTTTAAAGCATTGGAGAAATGCATAATTTAGACTATAAAAATCCCCCATGATCTCACCTACTCGAGATATCCACCATTAAATTTGGAGTGCATTTTTCCAGACATCTTTCTATGTCTGTGCCAACATATACATACATAATATTCTTAACAGAAGCAGACCTATCAGTCCATTCCTGCAGCCTTTTTCCTCTGTGACCTTTAATGGCCATGTTTAGGGACCTTGTCTTTTTCTTACCATCTTGGTCCACTCTGAGGCATCACTTCCTCCTGTCTTTTGTGTGTTTCCCCTCTTTCTATTCCCTAAATGTAGCCAATTGTCAGTTTCAGACCCCCATATTTCCTGGTATTTGTTTCTCCTTTTTAATTGGACAGCCCGGCATCACATGCATGAAGCCACTTTCTCTCCTTGCTGCCTTTCCTGGAAATGTTCTTGGCATTTCCCTTAGTTACCCTGGTTCTTGGCTTTCAAATCTCCTTTCCTTTGGCTGTTTTCTCTCCTTTGCTTTTTATATCTGAGCTGTTGCCAAGACAACTTAGGTTGGGACACTGTTGGCCAGTCTTCAATCTTCCCTCCACTTATGTGATGAATTTCCATAATTGCCCTTCATCTTGTTCAAACTCCCTGGCGAAATACTGGAGATTCTACATTTTTTTTTAAGATTTTATTTATTCATTTGACACACAGAGAGTACAAGCAGGGAGAATGATGGAGGGAGAGGGAGAAGCAGACTTCCCGCTGAGCAGGGTTCCTGACACGGGGCTCCATCTCAGCATCCTGGGATCATGACCCAAGCTGAAGGCAGATGTTCAAACTACTGAGCCACCCAGGCGCCCTGAGATTGTACATTTTGCTTCCATTTTTCTTTCATCTCTTCTCTCCCACTATTCGTCTCCTCCATGCACCTCTAGGAGCCCTTTGTCAAGCCAAGCTGGTTCATTGGCTGATGAACTGAGCCTGTTGGGGCTTGACTCTATCCTGGTCATTCCCCTGCCATCCTAAAGTGCTCTTTGGATTCTTGCTGGTTAGGCAGTTTGACACTCCAGTAATCCTAACAAAGTGCTAGCTTCCATCTTACATGGAGGAGCCACTGACCCAGCAGAAATCCGCCCTTTCTAACCTCAGAGGAGGCCTCCGTGGGCCAGACCTGTCCCACACTCTCATGTGATGCCATATTGCAGTGAGGAGGGTTCTGTCCTCCCTCCAGGCACACTGGAGGGCAGGTCGGGGGTGTATGCAGTGCCAAGTGGGGCCAGACTTCCCCACCTCTGGACCTTGTGTCTGACTCCGTGGACATGTGCCTGCCCGATATGTGAACTGTAGTAGATCTAACTGCATGGCCTCCTAAGCCCCTTCGAATTTTGTACAAAGTGTGGCCTGCTTTAGGAAGCCTCTGGCATTCACTTGAGAGGCCTCAGGGCTTCAGTAGGACAACTCCTCCTCATCAGGGAAATGAAGGCTCACAGGGACTGGCTTGGGAAACCTTCCTGGGGAGGAGCTCCTAAGGGAAAAGGGTTGCTCATCAAATGCATGCTGGGGGTATCTGTGGGTCAAGGCAGCACTCCCCTACCCGACCCTGACTTCTTTTCCACCCTCTTGGGAAGGACCTAGCTAGCTCAGCCTCTCATATGTCCGTAGAAGGTTGGAGTAAAGTGATCATGATTCCCTATTCTAGGTCAAAACCATCGTCTTCTGAGGACTTAAGAGAGAGCCCTCAGTCTCAAGAGGTAAGGAAACCATTAGAGGTTGGTGAAGGGGAGGGGCGTTCCAGAGCTGCCCAGATGTCGCTCATCAGCTCAGAAGTCTTATCAGTTATCAGTCTCTGCGCCAGGGTAACAAACTCAGATATTCACAAGGCCACGTCGGTAACTTACCTGTGCATGGCAGCAGGCAGGTTTTCCCTTTTAAAGCAGTATATTGGCCAGGTACAACAAATCTGAGGCTACCAATTTGCAGTCTCTATAGGGACTATCCTTAATTTTGTCCAGCTAAGTTGTGGCAGTGGTGGGATAGGCTGTACAAATTACCATCATGCCTGAGATACGTATTTAGTGTTTGTTGTATGCTTGGGGCTGGGAATAGAGGGATTGTTAATACAAATTAAGATTAAATTAAGATAAACTAAATAATGCCCTTGCCTTCAAAGAGCTTACTAGGAGACCAGAGTAAACACAAGAGCCATCATTTAGTGTGTAACTACAGCCTGTGGAGCCTGCCAGTATATTTGGGAGTCATTTAGATACCACTGCAACCCTGCAAGGTGGGCACTACGGGTCTCTGTTTTGCAGATGAGAAACGCGGCTCAGAGAAGTGATGTGATATGCCCAAGGTAAATTAGCTTGTAAGTAGGGAGCCAGGCAGAATTCTAACCCAGAACTCTTTACAGCCATGTGTTTCCCATCACACTGTTCTGTCTACACGTACAGACATTCATGCATGTATGGCAGATGTGAACAGAGTTTAGGAGCATGGAGTTGGCAAGGATGATGGTCCCCTGAAAGTTATGGAAAAACTCCTTAGAGGAAGTGTCATTTGAGCCAGGCTTTGAAGAGTGGGTAGGAGTTCACATCAAGGGGAAGTGGTGTGCATTGCATAGAGGGAACATGTGAGTAAGAGTGGAATGCTTGCTGTGTTTGGGGAGGGTGGAGAGCATTTGGTGTGCCCAGACCATGGTGTGTGCAGTGAAACTAGAAAGATCAGGGTTACGATGCAAAGGGCTTTGAATGCCACATTCAAGTAGGGTGTGGCGGTAGTTGCCTGAAAAGTGTCAGAGGTGGGGTAAAGATATAATCAGATTTGCCTCCCAGAGGGTGATTGATCTCAATGTGGGGAGGTAGAGTGGAAAAGAAGGCCAAACTCTAGTCCCAGTTTGGGAACATCCTTGTACTTGTTCCAGCACAAGGCCAGTGTTTGGGGTGGACCAGGAATGTAGGGGAGCACGGCTTATGTGTAGAAGTATCACAGTAAGAATCAGCAGGAGGGATAGTAAGAATGCATAGGAGAAGGGAAGAGCCAAAGATGGTACTGAGATGTCTAACCTGGGGCCTGCGTGGTTGCAGGAGTACAGACTAGCTCATATACTGGGCTCCAGGAAGGCCGGTCTTCACTATATTCACTCATGTATCCACAGTCTGTGGCACTCAACAAATGTGTGCAGACCATGAGAGAATGAATAGAATTCACTCACATGAGGATGAGCACGTTTGCTCATTTAGTGGGGTTGGAGTGGGGAGAGTGAGCCACCCAACTTCCACCTTGGTTTTGGCTTTTTGAACTAGTCTTTTTGAATGCCTAAGACTCAGTGCAGCACATTTCAGTGAGCAACAAACACTCAATGGTTATCCCATGGTCCACTCCTTTTGAGGAAAGCAGCTTTTGATGACCTGAGCTTTTGGTGACCTGAAGAAGCATTGTGCTAAGTGTACGTAGGGCTACTGAGAGGAGGCATTCATTGTTGAAGTTGGGATAGGCTATGTGGGGGGCGTAGGGAGACAAGTGGGAAGAGGAAGCGGAATGTCCCTGTCAGGAGCTTTGATATGTGTGCAGATGATCTGATCTGACCCTGACTTAGGTAGGGGTCTGGGATGCTCCTGACCAAATCAAACTGGCTGGAGAAGATGGAGCTGGATTCCTTAGGGTCTTGAATTATCAGCACTGAAGACTGAAACAATATAGTTATAAATGGAAGCACCTTATAAATTGGAGTCCTGGTCTGTGTGAGATAAGACCTTGGCTGTGTCTGCTAATCTCGCTGAGCCTCAGTCATGGCATCTGCAAAAGGGGAACAGTAGCTCCCCAAAGTCAGGAGAGCTTTCTTGGTCTTCCTAGGTCTAAAAGTGGTTAAGATTTATTTGTTTGCCTCACTGTAACCCTGCATACCCTGTCCTCCCCCAAAGAGTCTTTATTTCAGTAAGATGTGCTTAGAAGTGTTTAGCTCAGGAAATCAACCCTCTCCCTCCCCAGTTTTTGAAGTCTTCTTTGTTTCAGGCATCCACCCCAGGTGGATTCCAGAAGAATGAGGAGGTTCTTAGCTCCCCAGCATCAACTGTCACTCTTAGCCATCATGAGTCTCAACTGTTTACCCAGCTACACATGGTCAAGATGGAGAAAATGTTTGAGGATGATGTTGACTCGACTGGAGGTAAAGCTGCCTTGCAGGCTTAGTTTCTGGTTTTGGCACAGGGTAGGAACCAAAACCTGGGTGTGTGGAGGGTTCAGATTTGGCAACCAGTTTTTCATCCGGTGTCTTTAAAATTTTAAGACTTTCTGTCATTGTGTATATTGTAAGCATATCAGAAGCTATTTCATTTCTAGAGAAACAATACCCCTAATCTAAGCACCCAGATGTAACCACTGTTAGCATTTCGGTATATTTTCTTCCAAACAACTTCATATGTATGGTTATCTATTGCTGTGTGACAATATTATTGTACACTTAGTGGCTTAAACCACACATTGATTATCTCATAGTTTTGGTGGGCCAGGCATCTGGGCAAGGTTTAGCTGGTTCCTCTGCTTAAGGGTCTCACTAGGCTGAGTCTGTGGTATCATCTGCAGCTTGCCAGGGAAAGGATTGCTCCCAAGTCCACTCAGGTTGTTGGCAAGATTCAGTTCTTTGCAGCTGCAGGACTGAGGCTTCTGTTTCTTCCTGGCCTTTGGCTGGCGACTGCTTTCAGCTCCTACAGCTGCCCACTGTTCCTGGCCACATGGGACTCACCACCATGGTGGTTTTCAAGGCTCAGAGTAGCCATGAGATAGCAGCTCCAGCAAGATGTGTGCTACAATCTTGTAAGTATGTAGTTATGTACACATAACCCCATTCATCCTGTCACCTTTGCCATATTCTCTTGGTTAGAAGCGAGTCACGGGTTCTCAAGTCAGGAGGAGGGGATCACAGGAGGGCATGAACAGCAGGAGGCGGACACCACCTTAAGTATGTCTGCCACAGGTGGCTGTGTGTTTTCACATGTTTGTAATTGCCTTACACAGGTAACTTCAGATCCTTCTCTTCTTAATGTATAATACCTTAAGGGCTTTTACATATTGCTGTGTTATCTTCCAAACCATCATTACTAATGAATGCAAGTATTCTACTTGGGGACTGAGCCATTCCCCTATAGTTGGGATATTTAGGTTTTAGTGCGTTTATTTTTTTAAAAGATTTTATCTATCTATTTATCTATCTATCTATCTATCTATCTATCTATCTATCTATCTATCTCATAGAAAGAGAGAGGCAGAGACATAGGCAGAGGGAGAAGCAGGCTTCATGCAGGGAGCCTGATTGGGACTCTATCCCAGAACTCCAGGATCACGCCCTGAGCCGAAGACAGATGCTCAACTGCTGAGCCACCCAGGCATCCAGGTTTTACTGCTTTAAATAACATGATGAAGAATATCCTTTGTACATCAAACTTTTTCTGTCTTTTAGAGCTTAATTTTTTTCTTGGGGATGGTACACATAAAGCCAAATAATAGGAATACTTAAAGGCATCTTTGTTTATATCCACCAGACTGAGTACCAGCTCTGGGGCATAGCTCCTTGTCACATTAATTTGAGTTTTACAACCATACTGTGATGTGGGCTGGAAAGGATAACAAATCCTCAGTTCACAGATGAACAAAGTGAGGGCAGGAAGGGATGGTGTGTGTCTGAAGATGAGATGGCTCCTAACTAAAGTTAATTTGGTATTGGGGTTTGACACCTGGGAGTCTTGGAGGACCCCAGATGTACCAGTTGTGGCCACAATTTTTATTGTGTTTATGTTTTGAGTAGGCAGAGTATTCAGGCAGTTCAAAAGTCAAAAGGTACTTTTCCCATGATACTTTTTTGATAGAGCAAATGTCTCCTTCAGCCCAACCCGAGGTGCCCAGTTCCATTCCTTCAAGTGGTTACTTACTGCTTTTAGTCATCTGTGATCTGTAGAAACACAGACACACATGTGGTCACTTCCCTTTTGTATGCAGTGGCAGCCTGCCATCCACACTGTTCTGTGCCTTGCTTTCTTTTCCTCAGCTTTATTGAGCTATAGTTGACAAGTAAATGTGTAACCATGCTGATTCGATATCTGTATACGTTTAGAATGGATCCCCACAATTGTCTACTCCTGCTTTTAAGAAAAATAATTTTTATCAAGTTTCCCCTTTTGATTTTTTACCTAATTTGTCCTGAAACCTTTTCAGATCAATTTAAAAAGAGCTTCCTCATTAAAACAAACAAACAACAAGCCAGATTTTAAATGGAGGAAAGGAAAATTTACTATGTATTTTTGGTACATTGGTACTTTTTCAAAAATCTTTTGAAGATGTGGATCATGGGGGTATCTGGGTGGCTCAGTCGGTTAAGCATCTAACTCGTGGTTTTCAGGTTGTTGATCTCAGGGTTGTGGGATTGAGCTCTGCATTGGGTTCCACACTCAGTGAGGATTCTGCTTGAGATACTTCCTCTCTGTCTGCTCCTCCTGCTTATGCTCTTTCTCTTTCTTTCTCTCTCAAATCAATCAATCTTTTTTAAAAAAGAGGTGGATCACGAACATGGGCTCTCTAGCATTTCTTGGGAACCTTGACCTGACTGATCATCAGTGCCTGTCTCAGAGGGAAGAGGAGAGATACCAGAGTTCTCCTCTCTGTTCTACAAGTTCTCTTTCAGGGCCTTAGTTGTTTTATTATTATTATTGTTATTGTTATTATTATTATTATTATTATTATTATTATTATTTGTTTATTTGAGGAAGGTCCATGTTGTTGGGTTTTGTTTTTTTAGATTTTATTTTTAAGTAATCTCCACACCTAAAGTGGGGCTCTAACTCACAACCCTGAGATCAAGTGTTGCATGCTCCACCAGCTGAGCCAGCCAGGTGCCCTGAGGGTTGGTCTTTCTTTTCTTTCTTTTCTTTCTTTCCTTCCTCCCTCCCTCCCTCCCTCCCTCCCTCCCTCCCTCCCTCCCTCCCTTCCTCTTTCCTTTCCTCTTTCCTCTTTCCTCTTTCCTTTCTTTCCTCTTTCCTTTCCTTTTTCCTTTTTTTTCCTTTCCTTTTTCCTTTCCTTTCCTTTCAGAGAGCACAGAGAGCAGAGGCAGAGGGACAGGAGGAAAGAGTACTAAGCAGACTCTGTGCTGAGTGTGGAGCTGGATGCAGGGCTCCACCTCCCAACCTGAGATCATGCCTTAAGCTGAAAGCAAGAGTTGGATGCGCAATTGAATATGTCACCCAGATGCCCCTGGGTCTGTGTTTTTTTTTTTTTTTTTAAGGGATGGGTCTCTGGTTCTTAAAGGGGAGTGCCCATGCATCTCCTGCGAGGACTTAAAAGTGTCCATGTGCCCTGGTCCCCACCTCTGGGGCCTGTGTGTGGGAGCTTGTGGAGGACTGGGGTGGGGATCAAGAGAGAGCCACTGAGCTGGAGGCCCTGTAGCCTCAAGCCTGCGAGCCATTGTAGCACTGACCTTCTATGCAGGTGCTCCTGAGGCGACATGAGGGGCTCATATACCAAGTGTGCCCTCACTTTTGCCAACTGACATTTCATCCGGCGCTGCCGGGCATGGTAAGAATCAGTATTGGTACAGAGCTTCATGTGTTACCAAGCCCTCTGTCAGATTTGATTCAGTTGTTATGAAGCCCTGTGGCTTTCCGTGTGACTTTACACAGGAAGGGCCAGACACTAACAACAGGCCCAAATGCAGTGATCAGGTGTCCTGACATGGAAACTACTTCTGTGGGCACCCTACACCAAGTGTAGCACTTCAGATGCAAAGTAAAGAAGGCCCTTTCTGGGTGAGCCGGGGGCATGACCATGCAGTGCTCATGCTTGATCAAGCCTGTGCTCTAGGAAGGCAAGCACTGGAGGGCACACACATACCCCTACCCCTAAATGGCAGAGGGGAGGCTAGGAAACATTTTCTTCATAAATATTTTAAATATTGCATTTATTTAAAAAATACTTATAAGTCTTTGGGGATGCCTGGGTGTCTCAGTGGTTGAGCAACTGCCTTTGGCTCAGGTCATGATCTGGGGGTCATGGGATCGAGTCCTGCATTGGGCTCCCCACAGGGAGCCTGCTTCTCCCTCTGTCTCTGCCTCTCTTTCTGTGTCTCTCATGAATAAATAAAATCTTAAACATACTTTTCCAAAAAAAAAAAACATACTTATAAGTCTTTAAAAAAAATAGAGGTAAATAGTCCATAATCCTACCTCTTGGTGTTACAAAGAAAGAGAAAGGTAAAGTAGGAGTTTCCCAGAAGGGGGAGGGCAGTTCTTAACAGGGGATGGCAGAGGAGAGGTATACTGGGTCTTGCTGCGTTGGGGGAGCAAGGGGTGTCCTGGGGCAAGGCTGGGGGGAGGTGACCACAGAGGATGGGGTGCACTCGGGTCAGGGGGTGCCCTGAGACCCAGCAGTGGGGCTGACAGGGAGGTGACACATCTAGAGCTGCTAAAGAAAGGGAAGTGTTTTGGCCAGGAGGGCATTGGCTCCTCACATGACCAGTCACCCTACAGAGGGTAGTGAACATTATAATGGAGATGAAGGAAGTCTTCTGGTTTCAAATCCTCCTGGTGCCATTGTGTGTTCTTGGGCAAACCACAAAGCCTCTCTGTCCTTATCTGTAAGATGGGGAGAATGACAGTACCCATCCTCTAGGACCACAGGGTTCTTGTGAGGATTCAGGAGGGAGGGCATTGGAAACCCCCTTCAGGTCTTCAGCCTGGATGACTGGCTGGAGGTGGTGCTATTAGCAGAGCTGGTGAACACAGGAAAGACCAGCATGTATTGGGATAAAGATAATAAACCGGATTTTATTTTATTTATTATTATTTTTAAGATTTTATTTATTCATGAGACACACACACACACACACACACACACACACAGAGGGGTGGGGTGGTAAACACAAGCAGAGGGAGAAGCAGGCTCCATGCAAGGAGCCTGACGTGGCACTCAACTCCGGGTCTCCAGGATCAGGCTCTGGGCCAAAGGTGGCACTAAACCGCTGAGCCACCCGGGCTGCCCTAAACCAGATTTTAAACATGCTGAGTTGAAGGAGCCAGGGGAACGGGAACACTTGGGAACAGTCAGAGACACAGGAGAGGTATTCTCTCCTGAGATGCAGAGATAGGTGATGAGGTGAGGTCACTCAAGCAGAGTGTCAGAAAAGCAAGGGGACCATGACGAGAAGAGCTGAGGCAAATGCCAAATGACAGGGCAGCGTAGACAGTGGAGCCTGGAGGAGACCGGAGTGACCTGTGGGGTCACTGCTTGAAGGCAGGAGACCCCAAGGGCAGTGAAGGGCACCATGAGATGTGGTCTGATGTCTCTGGTGGCTGAGGAGAGTGGGTGGGCACAAATGCTGGGTGCTGAAGGGAACGTGCCAGTGGGGCAGGCAGAAGAAAGAAAGGAGGAGTGAGGATGGACCTTCATCCCTCAAGGAAAGAAAGGGCCCAGGACCACCCAGGCAGGGGAGAGTTGGCTGTCAGAACACCCCTCTTACCATCTGAGCTGGAAGGGCTGGCAGTCAAGCGTTATAAGATTGAGTCTCACATCAAGATCCACACTGGGTGTGGAGCCTGCCTAAGAATCTCTCCCTCTCCCTCTGTACACTCCCCTCTCCTGCTGACCTGTGTTCTCTCTCTCTTAAAAAAAAAAAAAAGGTGAGAGAGCTGGCTAAGATCAGAGGCGCAGGAAAAAGTGGTTAGAGAGTTCACTTGGAGTGTAATTTAGAAGTAAAATATGCACTTTTACAGTGAGGCATAATTTACCTCCCATAAAATGCATGGGTGTTGGGGTCCAGCTCAAGGAATCACATGCATACATTCATGTAACTACCAGATCAAGTTATAAAACATTTCCTGCCCCCCCCCCAAGAAAGTATCCTCCTGCCTGATCCTGCTTGTGATCCCCCCTCCCCCCTCAAGGAAGTGATATATCACTTTGAGTGGTTAATTAACCATCTGGCTAGAGGTGGGTGAGAGTTGTTTTTTAGAGGGGAAAGGGGCCCTGCCTGGACCCCACAGTGTATGCTTCCTTTCCAAAATACCTTTGTGTCTATTCTCTTGCAATTTTCAAAAAAGTGTTTGGTAAACTTAATAAAAAATGTATTAAAATAACATGGTGACAAATAATCTATATGACTTCTTAGACAACCAGCTCCTTTCTTGGGTGAGAAAGGAGCTGGTTGATCCCTGTAGTGCTCTCAAGAGGGATTTGTTCATTCATTGCTACACAAAGGCTCTTTGGCTCCTGGCTCCCTCCCAAGGGAAGGCTCTGTGTCTTGATGGCCATCTGACTGACACCCAACTCATACATGGAAGGATCAGATTGTGAGGGTCAGCCTCAGGCACCACCCCATGACCCTGGACACATGACCTCACCTCTGCGTCCCACAGTTTTCTCATGAGTCTCTCTCATTAAATGGTCAGTGTGAATAAACACAGAGAAGCACCCAATATCGTCATGGCCACATCCTAGTGCCAACAGCAAAACTCGGGAACAAGTGTGTGTAGTGTGCCAAGAAACCAGTCACAGAGGGCACAGGCTCATCCTGTACTCGTGGAACTCATGGGCTAGAGCAGTGATGAGGAAAGTTGAGGGGGGCAGTGGAGCTGGGTGCTGGGAGTAGAGGGCCTCCCTAGATAGTTCTCAGGAAGGCTTCCTCGTGAAGGGGCCCAGATGGTGCAAAGGCCTTGAGGTGGTGAGAAACAGCGTGGGGACATTATGGCTGGAGCCAGGAATGCAGGGGATGGTAGTGGGAGGTGAGGTCTGAGCGGAGCCAGAAAATGCACGGCCTTCAGATTGTGGTGAGGGTTCCAGATATTTGGAGGGAACTCTAGAAGCACTTTTTATAGACTATGATTATTTAAAAAAATCTACGGGATATTGGCACATTGGCAGACAGATTCCCTTATAGTCACAAAACCCAGCGTGGAGAGAGTATTTTATCCCTACCCTCTGTTCCTCTCCTCTCCAGCTTTGCCTCTAGCCAAAGTTGGCATTTTAATTGCCTTTAAGAGACGCACTTCACCTCTTTATTTGTATATTTGTATTAATTTGTGTCTCTTTTTTTTTGCCATTATTAGTTTTCTCTTTCCTTCTTTTTCTTTTTTTTTTTGAGTTTTCACCAGTTTTCTTTTTTTTTTTTAAGATTTTATTTATTCATGAGAGACACAGAGAGAGAGAGGTAGAGACATAGGCAGAGGGAGAAGAAGGATCCCCATGGGGAGCCTGATACAGGACTCGATCCTAGGACCCCAGGATTATCTGAAGGCAGATGCTCAACCACTGAGCCACTCAGGCATCCCTCATCAGTTTTCTTTGTCTCAGTGCCTGGCCTGTCTTAGAAATGGGATCTGATCTTTTTTTAGTATCCCCTCACCCAGCAGTGCTGTGGGGCCCACACAGTCCTCTGGTGTGAAAGGTGTGCACTGAATCAGGTGGGCTGATTGAATGCTGAACAGATAGAGGAGATTCAAGGGACAGCCCGGCAAACATTCTCTGTGTCCTTCTTCAGCACCCAGACATCCAAGGGCACCATGGCTGCTAACAGGCCCAGTGATTTGCTGTGGAGTGGATGATGTTTTTTCTTCTCTTTTGAAGCCCTGGACATGAAGACTTTCATTAAGGCCATAAAGAAGATTCTGAGCAATGCGTCAGATGAGATGCTAGAGGCGCTGTTTTTGAAGGTGGACACAGACTGTAATGGCTCCGTTACCTGGGTGAGGAGGGTGCCTCTGCTGCCTCAGGTAGCTGGAGGGAGCCTGAGGGATCCAGGTGTGGCTGACCTGTAGAACATGTGGAGGGTTGAAGATGGGGAGGTGGTCAAGCCATCAGAAAGCCTCCTGTGGATTCTGGGGTGCTTGCTGGGTAGAGGGAAACTTTCTAAGACTTCTGTAAGTGGGGCTACTTGCAGCTTATTCTTCTCCTAGGGAATGGGAGGGTGTATGACGAATGTTAGCAACTTTTGCCTGAGGCCTCCCAGCACACAGGGAAGCAGCAAGGGTACCACCCACCTGCCAGGTGGCTCTCCTGCACACCAGCCCCCATTCAGTTCTGGAAGATGCCATAACCACCATAATAGACGGTTTCTGATCACTCAGCCAACAGACAGACCTGTGGCTGTTCAATCCCAAAATGTCAGGGTTCTAGAGCATTCCCCCCCTCGATTCTATATGTTCTGTGATAAGTAGATGTACCATTTAAAAATATGAAATACAGAAGGATACAGAAAAGTGCAAAAAATTAGTCTGACGTATTGACATAGGAATGCTGACAATGATAACTAGCCTTGATGCCAAGCACTGTGTTAAGCACTTTATGTATTATTTTACTTAAACTTTGCAGGAATTGTACAGGGTGTGTGTTGATATTTGCCTTAATTTGACAGATTGTGAAACTGAGGCATGAAGACTTTAAGAAACTTGCCCAGAGTTACAGAGCTAGTTAGCAGCTGAGCTAGTCTTCAGACCTGAGGAGTTTGCTTCAGGAAGCCTGTGTGTTAACTACTCTGTCATTCCTTCCCTCAGCTCAGGCAAACATGCTGTTTTGTTTTTTTCTTTCATTTCTCTTAATATTCTTTTTATTCTTAATAAACCTGTTTCCAGAATTCTTTGCTATCTACACAATGATCTTAATAACTCCCTCTTTCTTTATAGGTTCACGTGGTGGTCTGTTTTGGCCTTCATGAGGCATCAGTAGATTCTAGAGTTGCGGTAGTTGCCTGGCTTCTGGTCTTCCCCTGCTGTTAACTTGTTATATGAGCTGGGACAACTCATCTCTATTTTTATGGGCTCAGTCCTATTATCCATAAAATGTGGATGAATAAAGAGATTCAAACAAGATGCTGGATGTGGTGATGATGCAGACATGTATTTAGCATTACAGAAACGCGTTAAGGAGGGCGGTGCTGCTATGTACTTGTTGCTAGGCCCTTCACACATCCCAGATCCCAGAACAGCTCAGTTGCTTGGCTACTCTCTTTGGCCAGCCCCAGGAAGCAGCAACCAGAGAGCCCCTTAGAAGAGGCTAGGAAAGATGAGGGAAGAACTGGAAGCCAGGCAAGGGTTCCCAAAGCCCAGTGCTCTGATGGCTCAGCCAACACTTTCCTGTCTTGTGTTACTTCTCGAGGCAGCAGGAGTACGTGGATTACGTGATGCGGGAGTTACAGAGAAGGGAGAGGATGAGAACAAGCCAGTACCGCCTGCACTTCCACCTTCCCATGAGGATCATTCCCCTGTAAGGAGTGTCTCCCTGGACTGAAGGGGTGTGTACAAACAAGAACAAGGTGGGGACAGGCTCTGTAGTGAGTGCCCCTCCCTAAATCCCTGAGTCACTCCTTGTGGGGCCACCAGGGGTCTGGCACTCACTTCAGCCACTCAACCCTGTAGGCGAGCCTGAGCATTAAGGTGACCGTGTCCCCACTTTACAGACAAGGAAACAGGTTTGGAGAGGTCAAAATGAAAGTGGTGGGGTTGCCCTGTTTGACTCTCCCCATCCCTGCAGCATACTCTGCTCCCCCTGCTTGCTTCCTCCCATTGCTGGTGCTAAGTGGGTCTGGGGGTTTCATCCAGAGTGCAGATGGCTCACATGGCAAGGAGTAAAAGCCATCACAGGAAATTGCTCCTGGAGGCTGCAGAGGCCCCAGGAATGGGCCATTGGTCCCTCCTGGAGCATGTGGCTCTGCCTTTGCCTTGATTTCCTCCTCTCCCTGCCTGCTTGCTCTTCCTCATGGCTCTTCTCCACTGTACCCTCTGGACCTTCATGTAGTCTCCTTTCTGTGCATGGTTCTGTCTACCCCCACCCCTCTGAACTTCCTAAGAAAAAGCAGCCCTCCAGTGGATTCTGGCCAGTGGCCCAGGCCTCTTCCTGGAGTTCCTTTCCCAGAGATCACTGGGGGTTTGCACACCTCCTGCCAGGTGCAGGCAGCTGAGGCCAGGGAGCCAGGTCCTGTGATCCAATGCTTGGTGGCCTGCAATTGTGGCCTGGTTAGGAGGGGCTGTGGCTGGGTCTGTCCTTGGAACCAGCCCCAGAGCAGGCTGTGGGGAAGACTGCTTAGGACATGTAAACCTGAAGCAGTCTGCCCTGGAGCACCTGGAGATTCAGAGAGATGATGTAATGAAAACCAGGAAAGGGCAACTAAAACAATTTTGGTCAATATTTAATTGAGGCCAATATATATGAAAGATGAAGGATTTTATAACCATACATTTTGACCTAAAAACTTCGCTTGACATAGCTGAGCCCTCACAAGGCTTTCTATTATTTCCTTGGAACATTTAGATTTCCAAGGGTGCTTAAAGAGCCAGAACCAAAAATGTCAAGAAGCCTGTTCCTTTCTTGTCCTTTTTATTTGTTCAACCTTCAAACCCGGAGAGCATTTCCAGCTTGGCAGAGAAAATAGCCAAATAATACTCAATTACCTTCATGAAAGGGTCATCTTAAAAGTTGGCTTCCCTTTCCTGATCCTGGACCAAGATCACTGAACGACCCTCTCCGGGATCTGCTGTAGTCCAGCAGGTGGAGGCGCTGGCCTTCTGGGATAACACCTCCCGAGGGCTCCTCTCACTTTTCATGGCTTTCACCTTTCACCCCTCAGAGACCTGTGGCCCTGACTTGAGAGATGGCAGTGGGAAAGGGGAGGGAGGGTAGAGAGAGGAGCCATGTTCAGACATACTGTCACCCTCTCTTCTGCTGAGACTGTTTTGAGGTAGAATTTCACAGTGATGTGGGTTAGCCTTCAGCCATAGGTCACACAGTGTCCACAGTGACATTTGGAAAAGGTTCTGGCTAGAGTAGGGATCGAGGTGCCTAGGTTCTAGTTTATGGACAGAACTCCAGGCAAATGCTTCTCCCTGGGTCCATGTGAAGTGAGGTAACACTACTGGCCCTGGTGGGGCCTGAAGGTGTGGGAACATCAGGTGGGAGAGCATGTGCCATGCTGTGTCCAGAAATCAAAATGGCGCTGCCCTGTAGTAGCCAGCCAGCCAGCTTAGCCAACTTGGAGCAGGAAAGAAACCACTGGAATGCATCACTGTAGCTTGCTGGGAAGGCCACAGGAGCCGTTTACTATGCTCAGGGCATGGCCTTGTTGATGAGGAGGCAGGTACATGGGGCTCTCTGTTGGATACATTGCCCCTTGTCCACTTTTATCTCATGCTTGCGTTATACTCCCTTCTCCGAGTTGCCAGAAACTGTTATCATGAAGTTTTCAGTTGCAAGCCACCCCTCCAGTCACCACCTTCTGTAGATCATTTTTCTCATAAAAGAAGGTTTGCAAAAGACCTCCACATTCCCTGCCTCCCCTGACCCCATCCCATCACGAGGAAGTGTACTGGCTTTGTGATGGGAGAAGCCCATGGCTTGTGGAACCCTATCTCATAGCAGCGGCCTACTGGGGGCTCTTTCTTTCGGCCACAGCTGCTAATGGTAGAAAACTGCTTGGCAGAGTCATGCATCGTGTGCGTGCTAGTGAAGCCCCCCTTGCTTGCTTTGTCTTTTCTCCTCTGTGCTCCTCATTCCGGATTCGTTTGAATCCTTCTTTCTCCTGTCCCTTTCCTCAGGAACCATGGATGCGAGATTGTGAAGGTGCAGTTCTTAACTCAGCAGTTCAAGAAGATGGGGCACCTTCTGACTGTCACCAAGGACGGGATCTTGCAGATCTGGTCTGAATCCTTCTCGCTGCTTAACTCCTTTAGGGTGAGGGGGGCCCACCTGTGGAGCACATATGGGGTGGTCGGAGCACCTTTGCCTTTGTACCCCAATAGTGAAGGTGACCCGGATCCAGAGTGTGCTTATTCTTGGGGTTCCTGGTCTAAGCACCCCGCACGTGCAGTCACTGCTTCTGAGGCCAGGATTCTGGCTTCACTGTGGGACGGAGACCCTTACAGTTCTCTTCTGTAAGCAGGATGACATCTCAAAGTTGCATTCTACTTAGATGTCTAACAGAGACACCTTATACCCATTTTGTCCAAATAGAATGTCACTGGAGCCCTCCCTGGCCACCAGGCTTCCCTCTCCTGGGCCCCACCTCCGTGAGTGGGGTCATCACCCACCAAGGTTTCTGGGTTAGAGATCAGTTCCCTGACCTTTCCCTGCCACAACGGCTCCATCACCAAGCACCACTGATTTGAATCCTTCCCTGGTACTGGGCAGGAAATCACAGCAGTTGTGAGTGTGGGCTCTGGAGCCCACCTTAGAACCTGACTGTGCCACCTTCCAGCTCTGTGACCTTGGATAGTTAGTATATAGCCCTCCATGCCTCAGTTTCCTCATCTATCAAATGGGGTCATGTAACCCCCTCAGGCTGTTGGGAGGATTTAATGACATAACAATGCCCACATGGCAGTCAGAGTAGGGTAAGGCTCACAGCAAGTACCAGACAAATACAAGCTGACATCATCATTGTCTTTGTGCGGTCAGTTCCTGACCAAGAGCAGTAAGTGAGAAAATGTTCAGGAAAGCTGGCTGTGTACCTAGTGTTGCCAGGCTAGTCCAGAATTGTTCAAAAAATGTGGAAGGCACAGCTCCCCTGAGAAGGAAGGCTTACTGAGGAGGCTGCCAGCAGGAGGAAGGCTTTCATAAGCCTGTGAAACAGCAGTGTTTTGTAGATGCATTGGAGGGGTGGGGGTGGGGCGGGGAATCTGTATCCCAGGGGGCCAGACGGCTCTGGTTGGTCCCTTTTCAGTTGCCTAGGGAGACAACTCAGGTCCGTGGAGGCCCAGTGACTCTCGTGGGTGGACTTGGTAGCCAGGACCAAGGGGGACTCACACCTGAGGTCCCGAGGCTAGGGTTTCTGGCATCCTCCACCCTCTTTTTCTCTGTGCGTTTCTTTTGGTATTGAGGGGGCACATTATAGCCTGAACTCCTGGTTGTGGCTGCTACTCGGTCACCTTGGTGCCCCTCAGAGGCCAAGTCTGAGAGAGTTGAGGACAGAGGGAGGCTTCCTGGACGGCCCAGCATTCCTCCTTGAGGGGCTGCTAGGGCAAGTGGATGTTGGCAGGAGTGATCTAGCAAGCACCTTCCATGAGCACCCACTGCATGCAGATGGAAAACCCTGGAATCTGGGGGAAGAGGGGCTGGGCTTCGTTTTCCAGCTGTGCAACCTTGGACAAATCACTAGAACTCCTTGGGGCTCTGGGCTTCTCAGAGGAACATGGAGGCAGTGGCCTTACCATCCCCTCTCTTGTGTGTGGGTTAGAGGCCCATTGTCTTCACTGCGCAGCCACCAGCACAGGCCTCTATGTTCTTGGTGTCTCTGAGTTGTGATGGAAAGGTCCACTTCCTGCTCCTGCCTCTGCACACCCATCTGGAGGAGCTGCCCTAAAGGTCCCCTTCCCTTCTGTGTCACACTGTACTCTTCTCTGCTTTCTTCAGTTCGGAATCCATGGCCTAATTTGGGGAGTAAACTACAATTTCCTTAGCTGGCCACCCCTACCTCAGCTCTCGTCCTCTCTGACCCTGAGCCTGTTGGGCTGGCCTCCTGTTTCCTTAGCTTCCTCTTTCCCCCAAGCCTGCTACTGCTGACAGGCGTCTCTGTGTGGCCTCCCCCACCTGGAGTGCTGCTCCAATTGGGTCTGCATGGCTATTATGTGAGCGCGGAAAGGCACCTCACAACCTGGCGGGACGATTTCTTGTTACTAAGCCACTTGAACCAGGTGACACCTGCAGATGGTAGACAAGATTCAGACAAAACAAAAACAAATACAATGTTATATGTCCCTGATATCTCTTTTTTTTTACCTTTTTTTTTAAATTTTATAAATTAATTTTTATTGGTGTTCAATTTACCAACATACAGAATAACACCCAGTGCTCATCCCGTCAAGTGTACCCCTCAGTGCCCGTCACCCATTCACCCCCACCCCCCGCCCTCCTCCCCCTCCACCATCCCTAGTTCATTTCCCAGAGTTAGAAGTCTTTATGTTCTGTCTCCCTTTCTGATATTTCTCACACATTTCTTCTCCCTTCCCTTATATTCCCTTTCACTATTATTCATATTCCCCAAATGAATGAGAACATACACTGTTTGTCCTTCTCCGGTTACTGTGGCCAAGTTCAAAAAGGGTGTTGCCTGAGTTCTCCTCTGGGATTTTGATGGAATCTTGTCTCACATTTAGATCTTTCATCTATTTTGAGTTTATCTTTGTGTATGGTGCAAGAGAGTGGTCCAGTTTCATTCTTCTGCATGTGGATGTCCAATTTTCCCAGCACCATTTATTGAAGAGAGTGTCTTTCTTCCAGTGGATCGTCTTTCCTCCTTTATCGTATATTAGTTGACCATAAAGTTCAGGGTCCACTTCTGGGTTCTCTGTTCTGTTCCATTGATCTATATGTCTGTTTTTGTGCCAGTACCACACTGTCTTGATGAACACAGCTTTGTAGTACAACCTGAAATCTGGCATTGTGATGCCCCCAGATATGGTTTTCTTTTTTAAAATTCCCCTGGCTGTTTGGGGTCTTTTCTGATTCCACACAAATCTTAAAATAATTTGTTCTAAGTCTCTGAAGAAAGTCCATGGTATTTTGATAGGGATTGCATTATACGTGTAAATTGCCCTGGGTAACATTGACATTTTCACTATATTAATTCTGCCAATCCATGAGCATGGAATTTTTTCCATCTCTTTGTGTCTTCCTCAATTTCTTTCAGAAGTGTTCTATAGTTTTTAGGGTATATTTTGAGAACCATTTGAATGGTAAATGGTTCTCCAACCTTTTATTTTCAGGTTGTAGGTGTCCTTCTGTCTAAAATGAGTCTCTTGTAGACAGCAAATAGATGGGTCCTGCTTTTTTATCCAGTCTGAAACCCTGCGCCTTTTGATGGGGTCATTAAGCCCATTCACGTTCAGAGTTACTATTGACAGATATGAGTTTAGTGTCATCATGATATCTATTTAGTCCTTGTTTTTGTGGATTGTTCCACTGAACTTCTTCTTAAAGGGGAGTTTTAAGAGTCCCCCTTAAAATTTCTTGCAGAGCTGGTTTGGAGGTCACATATTCTTTCAGTTCCTGCCTGTCTTGGAAGCTCTTTATCTCTCCTTCCATTTTGAATGAGAGCCTTGCTGGATAAAGTATTCTTGGTTGCATGTTCTTCTCATTTAGGACCCTGAATATATCCTGCCAGCCCTTTCTGGCCTGCCAGGTCTCTGTGGAGAGGTCTGCTGTTACCCTAATATTCCTCCCCATGAAAGTCAGGGACTTCTTGTCTCTTGCTGCTTTAAGGATCTTCTCTTTATCTTTGGAATTTGCAAGCTTCACTATTAAATGTCGAGGTGTTGAACGGTTTTTATTGATTTTAGGGGGGGATCTCTCTATTTCCTGGATCTGAATGCCTGTTTCCCTTCCCAGATTGGGAAAGTTTTCAGCTAGGATTTGTTCAAATACATATTCTGGCCCTCTGTCCCTTTCGGCGCCCTCGGGAACCCCAATTAAACGTAGGTTTTTCTTCCTCAGACTGTCATTTATTTCCCTTAATCTGTCTTCATGGTCCCTTAATTGATTGTCTCTTTTTTCCTCAGTTTCCCTCTTTGCCATTAACTTGTCTTCTATGTCACTCACTCGTTCTTCCACCTCGTTAACCCTCGTCGTTAGGACTTCTAGTTTGGATTGCATCTCATTCAATTGATTTTTAATTTCTGCCTGATTGGATCTAAATTCTGCAGTCATGAAGTCTCGTGAGTCCTTAATGCTTTTTTCTAGAGCCACCAGTAGCTGTAGAATAGTGCTTCTGAATTGGCTTTCTGACATTGAAGTGTAATCCAGATTTTGTAACTCTGTGGGAGAGAGGGCTGTTTCTGATTCTTTCTTTTGAGGTGAGGTTTTCCTTCTAGTCATTTTGCTCAGTGCAGAGTGGCCAAAAACAAGTTGTATTGGAACACGGGGGAGTATCACTGGTCCGTCTAGCTGGTCTTCTGGGGGAGGGGCCTGTTGTGCTGATTTTCAGGTGTTAGCACTTGGGGGAGCTGCTCTGCCCCTGCCTGCTGCAGGGCTCAGCGGGGGTTGTTTACCCCGTGGGGCCCCAGGAGGAACAGCAGCAGTTGCTATGGCAACTCTGGAAGCCTGGATTCAGCCTCCGCAGGAACTACGGGGCTCGGGGCTCTCGGTTCTCCGTCCGCAGGGCCTGGAGGCTCCGGGGCGGGGCCGCTGATCTGCTCAGCTCGGGGCAGGAGCGTCCTCGCTGTCCTGGGCCCTCCCGGCCTCTGCCTGTCCCAGGGGGAGGCCGGATCCTGGGCTGGGTCCGGCGCCCTGTGCTCCGGGGCCTGCGCTGTGGGATTCGCGCTCCCGCCCCGCAGCCCCCTCCGCGGAGCCACCGCCCGAGCCCCTCCGAGCTGCTCCGGTCGGTCCCGCGGTGCGCGCTGCAGCCCTTAGGGAGCTCGGAGCACTCCCCTGCGCTCGCAGGTGTCTGTTAGTGTCCCCGGGAGCCCGAGGGCATCCCCGCCCTCCTGGGTCCTGCTCCAACTCCCTGCGAGCCCCTTCCGCCCGCCCGGGAAGGTTGGTGCAGCTCCTGCTCCTCTGGGACGGGGCTCTCCTGTCCTGGGGACACTCGCCCCGGCCTCAGCCCGGCTCCTCGCGGGGCCCCTCCCCCTCAGAGGCCTTTTGTTTCTTTATTTCTTTTTTCCCGTCTTCCTACCTTGATAGAAGCGCGGACTCTTCTCACTGTAGCATTCCAGCTGGTCTCTCTTTACATCTCAGGCCGAATTCGTAAATTTTCAGGATGGTTTGAAGGTTATCTAGGTAATTTGGTGGGGACAGGCGATTTGGGGACCCTGCTCTTCCGCCATCTTGCTCCTCCTGTCCCTGATATCTCAATAAAACTAGGGTGGGGGAAAGATTCAGACCCACAGAGGGACAATGGAAAGTCCATTGCCCAGACCCTAATTCTATCCTGAGAGACAACTGCTATGACCAGTTTTGGGGTGCTTTCCCATGGTTAGCCTGTATGTACATCTCCCGCCCCCTCTTTTAAAATATACACATGATAGTGCTGCGTTTTTTTATTTAATGATAGATCCTGGTGACTATTCTCTATGGCAGGTGCACACCTCCCTCATATGTAATGTCTGGATGGAGATCTGTGGTATGGATTTATATCAGCTCTCCTTTGCAGTCAGTCCATGGCCTGTTGCTATCCTAGCAGTGTGGCAGGCCCCGCCCTCACACACACTTCTTTGTGAGTAAGTGTGAACACATCCATAGATATGGCTTGGAAATAGATCCTGGGATCATAAGCCATGCATATTTAAATCTTTGATGAGTGGGGCACCTAGGTGGCTTAGTTGGTTAGGCCCCTGACTTCAGCTCAGGTCATGATCTGAGGGTCCTGGAATTGAACCCTATGTTGGTGTTGCTCCACGCCAGAGGGAGCTGCTTCTCCCTCTGCAATACCCTCCCCCACTTGTCCTCTCTCTCTCAAATAAGTAACTAAAATCTTTTAAAAAATACTTAAAACTGGGCAGCCCTGGTGGCGCAGTGGTTTGGCGCTGCCTGCAGCCTGGGGTGTGATCCTGGAGACCCAGAATCGAGTCCCACGTCGGGCTCCCTGCATGGAACCTGCTTCTCCCTCTGCCTCTCTCTCTCTGTCTATGAATAAATAAATAAAATCTTAAAAAAAATAAAAATAAATGTTAAAAAATACTTAAAACTTTGTCATATGGCTCTAAAAAGGGTGTAAGGATGAGTGTTGTTTAAGCCCATTTTACAGATGTGGAAACTGAGACTCAGAGAGGTTAGGGAACTTACTCAAGGCCCCATTGGTAGTTGGAAGGGGCGCTGGGCTCCATGCCAGGTTTATGGCTGGCTCTAGGCCCTTGGGTGGCAGGAGAGGGTTCATGGGATCCTGTACTCCTGGTGTGTTCTGCTCGCCAAGCCTCTCTGGCCCAGATCTCCTCTGCCTTTCCTCTGGCCAGCTTAACCAGATCCATCAGCCCTATAACCAGCAGATGTGGGTCACTGATATGGTGTGTCTCCATAACATGAACCTGATTGCGATTGCATCAACTGACCAGAAAATAGGTGAGTCCTTGACAGCTTCCTAGGCCTGCTCTTGGCCATTGGAGGGCACGTACTTGCACTTGGAGAGAGACCTGTCACCAAGCCAACTACGGGCATGGGTTAGAGTCCTCTGGGGGTACTGCAGCTGGGAAGCAGATGCTGCATGTTGTCACCAGAGACCCCCAAGACTTGGGACATGGGCTTGGGTTCCATGTATGCCTCCCTTTCTGTCTCTTCCCCAGAGTTCTTTGATATTACCAACCATAATTGTGCCCGGGCCTTCACCTTCATTGATCTGGACAGCTGTGTCCTGACCATGGACTATTGGTGAGTCTCAGGGGAGATTGGTACAGTCTTGGCAGCCACATCACCCAGCAGTGTTGGGACTCCCAGAAAGACTCTTTGGAAACAGCCCAGGAAGGGTTCCCACCCAGTGTGCCTATGTCCTCTTCACCAAACTGACCCTCCTAGGAGGTCACTTGGTCATTGGTCCCTCTCTCTCCCATGACCTGACCAAGTCAGCCATCAAATCCTGGTAGAAACTTGTCCCTCCAGGGCCAAGGACTCTGGGAATAGCACATCCATCGGTAAGGGTGAGTTGATAATGAGCATCTGGAAGACCAGGGTTTCATTTGTTTTGGTTTTATTTACTTATTTATTTTTAAAAAGATTTTATTTATTTATTCATGAGAGACAGAGAGAGAGGCAGAGACACAGGCAAAGGGAGAAGCAGGCTCCCCATGGGGAACCCGATGCAGGACTCGATCCTAGGATCCCCAGGTCACGACCTGAGCCGAAGGCAGAGCTCAACCACTGAGCCACCAGCTGCTCCCATTTGTTTTGGTTTGTTTGTTTGTTTGTTTGTTTATTTATTTATTTATTTATTTATTTAAAGATTTTATTTATTCATAGACACAGAGAGAGAGAGACAGAGACACAGGCAGAGGGAGAAGCAGGCTCCATGCAGGGAGCCTGACGTGGGACTCTATCCAGGGTCTCCAGGATCACACCCTGGGCTGCAGGCGGCGCTAAACCGCTGTGCCACCGGGGCTGCCCATGTTTTGGTTTAAAAAAAATTCATGATTGCTTTTGAACCTGGTTCGCCGATGATCTGGATCAGGGTGTCTAGGCCCATGTTTGTCAGCTGGCGAGGGCAAGGCTGGAAAGTTGTGCGGGAACTGCTCTGGCTCCCGGGTGGAGGAAGGTTGTTGGAGACTGGGAGCTTGGAGGGTTGTAGCTGGTGCACCCAAGCTGGCCTCTCTGTCTCCCCTTCCCTCAGGTCGGACTATCACAGAGGTGTATTCTGCTACGGGGACACCAAAGGCAATGTCATTGTCTTCACCTCTGACAATGTGACCCACGGGCTGTTCAACCCTCGAATCCTTCCCAGGACCTCCAAATGGGGTAGCTAAGATGCTGGGGAACGGGGGAGGGGGAGGAGATGGCTCTGGGCCGAGGAGCACTTCTTTCTCCTGCCTCTCAGTGCAGGAGCCCCTGGCCTCTTCAGAAGCCCAGGCAGCAGTTTATCCATATGCTCAGCTCAGAGTGGCCTGGCGGACAGGGGGTGGTAAGGTTACAGAGGAGCCAGAGGGGGCTCAGGAAAAAGGCAAGCTCTCTGAAGGCTAGAGGTGACATGGTTGAGGGGTGAGGAGGGGAGCGGCTTCAGGGCCCACTCCATCCCAGCAAGAAAGAATTTGTGCCAGCTGTGTGACCCTGGGGAAGTAGCTCACCCACTCTGGGTCTTGGGATGACAGCACTATCTATCTCCATGGTGGTGAGGAGGGTTCTGCTCTCCTTGTGGGGAGGGGGCACTGCCTTTGTGTGCGTGGGTGGGAGTGCTCCGTGAGGCCCAAGGGAGAGGCTGGCTCAACGTGGATATAAACATGCATAAGCACAGTGACATTTCTCGAGCACTTGTGTGCTGAGTGCTTTGGGCACATCACCCCCACCCATGGCCAGGAGGGAGCTGCTGCTGTTACAGCCCATTAAGAGGAGAGGAAGGGTACTTTAGGGGGTGAAGCACTTGCATAGGCCCCACAGGGTAAGCCACCTGATGAAGCGGGCAGTCTGCCCCAGAGTCTGAACCTTAGCCACTCGCTGGGCTGTACCCCAGGGTACTGTTACGGGGCTGCTCTGCCAAGAGCACTAGATTCCAGCTCTGGGGCCTGGGGCTCTCGGGGCCTTGGCTGAGCTGGACCGCATCTAGAACCGAGACTTTGGTGTATACTGTCAGGCCTCTAGGTTGCATCACATCCATCTCGAGGAGGCCCTGGGCTACCAGGGGCCCCAGCCCATGGGGACACTGACTCCCCTTCTATCCAGGACGCCAGAGCAGCCCCTTTGACTTCCAGTCAGAGTTTCTGAGCAGGACACTCTCCAGGGGTTCCCAGGCCTTGGTGATACCTCCTGCCAAGCTTGACAGGGCAACAGTCCCCCCGACTGGCAGGATGGAATATGGATCCAGCCCCGGACACAGCAGTGGGCTGGCACCCGGTACATTCCTGCCTCATCAGCCTCTGCCCCTGGTGCTTGCCCTGACCCAACCAGGTTGGCTGCCTGGCTGTGGTCATGCTGCACCGCCCTGGGAATTGGCATGGGAGGTGGTGGTAGTCTTGGAGCTGAGTGTTAGACAGGAGATTGGAGCAGGTACAAAGGAAGCTGGAGTGTAGGATGGGAGTCCTTCCATGCCACATGCTGCCTGAAGGCTGCGATACACACAAAGGGGGCCATCAGTGTGCTGAGTTAGGAGGAACTGGACAGACCAGCTCTGTGTGACCTGAAGCCAGTTGCTTAACCTCTCTGTACCTCAGTTCCCTTATTAAACAAGGATGAGCATCCTCAATTCATGGCTTTTCTATAAGGTGGAAGGAGATCCTGCAGGGTAAGGCATGCAGTAAGGACACAGTGACTATCTCCTCTGACCTCCCGGGGCTCAACCAGCCTCATGGGAGAAGCAGACAGGCAAACCTGCCTGCAGGCAGCCCGGCTAAGCTTCCTCCCTCCTGCACCCACAGAGCCTGCCCCACTTCAGCAACATTCCACCCCTTGGGGCTTCCTTTCCAAGCTTCTTCCTGCCCCTACAAGGTGGGGCTGGTGAGTTTGCAGCAGTAAAATGCTTGTCACAAGCCCCCAGGCCCCTGTTTCTTTATTCCATTTTACCTGGTAGTTTCTAAGACTTGAGCCCAGACTGTCTCAGTCCTTCTGATCAACCTCTTTAAGCCCGCTCTGCAGGTTGACCTATACTTGTCCCTGTCACTGCTGGCTCTGTCCATTTCAACCCTTCCTGCTTGCACTGGGGGCCTTTCCTTGGAGGATCCTGGGCCTGTCCGTTGGCCATGAGTGGTTTCTTAGGTGCTTAGGGTGGTTGCTCCAGGCATGCTTGCTGGATGCTTCTCTTGGAACATGTGTTTGCTGGACAAGGTGGGGTGTATGTTTTGAAGTGTGATAGTAAACTTCCAGATGATCCTTTTGAGAACAAATAGAGCCTAGGGTCTCAGTTTGTTCTCCACTCTAGTAGAGTTGGAGCTCCTTAAATGAGAATCAACTTGTGTAGATCACAGTACACAGGGGAGAGTGAGGAGCCCGAGATACGGGACCAGCTTTGTGCACACTGGCAGAGGAGCTCTGGGCAGCAGTGCTTATCTGCCTGGGTCTGTGTTCTGGGTGTCAAGTTCCCCCCACTCAACCCACCAGAACACGGTGAAGCTTGAATGAGCATTTGAATGGAAAAGGCTTTTGAGACATACAGGAGCTGCAAACCAACTCAAGGTGTCCTCTGGGGTTTTGCTGCCTGGCAAAGGCAGGGAGCTGGTGATGTGGACCTTGGTCTTCTCTCCTATCAGATCACTGGACCAAAGTTTCTACACGGAAGCTTCTAAATGAAAAGTCTCCTTTGTACAGGAGTTATTGGCTGAAGGTAAGTGGTATCTTTGCTTGGCCCCTTACCATGGTAGTTATGTGGACATACACACACCCTTCAAAAATCAATACAGAAAAAGGATTTGCCCCCTGGGTTCAGTCTTAGGACATGGGGCTTGGTCACTGTGACCAGGAGGTAGGCAGCTGTTGGATCCTGTGGCTCTCTCTGCAGAGAACATAGATATCCTTGGCATGGCTTGTCTCTCTCCCCACCTCGGTTGCTCCAGCCTGGTCCTGGCAGACTCCACCTCTCTGTTTCCTGGATAGCTGCAGTGGGTTGTCCCTTGTGGCTGGTTCTGCACTTCCCTTTTCCATGCAGTGCTTCTCTCCCTCCATTCAGCAGCCAGAGGAATCATGAGCTAGAACCAGCCTTGTTACTCCTTTGCTCAGCCGCACCCTCCACCCCTCACCACTGCCGCCCCAGTAGCTTCTCATTGTGTTCAAACAGGATCTCAAGTGCTTACTGTGACCATCAGGATATGAAGTGATCCGACCCCTGGCCTGTTGCCCATTTTGCTTTCTACTCTTCTTCGTATTTGCACCACTGCAGAATGCAAGTGACCTTGCTGGTCTCTCTGAACACCCCAAGCCTTTCCCACCTCAAGGCCTTCTTACAGTCTATCCTTCGGCTGCTGTGCTCTTCTCTGGTCCCTGCACCCCTTTCTCTGCTTCCTCCGGGGCCCTCAGCAGCCAGCCTGGACCAGGCCTGTGTCCCTCCACGCAGCAGCGCTTCTAGGATTCTGACACCAATGCCCAAGTGCTTTTCTCATACCACCATGCAGTTCTTGGACTTCAGCTGGGTGACCTCCAATTCGGCTCAGTTCTGACACTGTCTACCTGGAGATAGCATCAGAGCCTACAGGTTGAGGGGTGTCCCACAAGACTGCCCTTCTGCCTCGCAGGCCAGTCACACGTTCAGGATGTCACCTGGGCTTCTGACCCATTGGTCATAGATCAGAGGTTCGCATGAGCCTCTCTTTGGGTTTGATTAACTTGGTAGAGTGGCTCACAGAACTCAGGGAAATGTTTTACTCACGAGGTCGCCGGTTTATTATAAAAGGAAACAACTCAGAATGGCCAGATGGAAGAGATGTGTAGGGCAAGGTATGGGGAAGGGGGGACAGAGCTTCCCTGCCCTCTCTTGGGTACAGGGTTCGCCCCTCCACATGTTCACCAGCCTGAGGCTCTCTGCACTCTGTCCTTTTGGGTTTTTAGGAGTGGCATTACATAGGAATGGCTGATTAAATCATTGTCCATTGGCAGTCAATTCAATGTCTAGCTCCTCTCCTCTCCTGGTCAGGAGGGTGGGACTGAAAGGTCGAACCCTCCAATCTCATGGTCGGTTCCCCTGGCAACCAGTCCCCATCCTCAGGGACTTTCCAAAAGTCACCTCATTAATGTCAACTCAAGTGTGGTTCAAAAGAGTTTGTTATGAATATTAAGATACCTTTGTCTCATCACTAGGAAATTTCAAGGGTTTTAGGAGCTCTGTGCCAGAAATGGGCATGAAGACCAAATATATATATTCCTTACTGTAAATCACACTATCACAGCTTACCCACCTCCCAACTTTGTATCGTCCACCTATTGCTTCCTCGTCTGGTCACCCTCATGGGAGTGGCAGCTCCTAAGGACAGGCACTTAGGGTCTCCCTGGGACCCTCTCGGGTACAGAAGCATAGAAGCTGGCACATAGTGTATGAGTACCTTCTTTTCCATCTTCTGTAGGAATCTCATCTTGGGCTTGGTTTTCCACCCCAGGTACATGTCCCATGTTCTGTTAGGTGCCCTGGATTCGGTGCCTTCACTGTGATAGACCCTTGGTGAGGCAGTGCATATAAAATCTAGCTCAGTGCCTAACAACCTCCTCCACACTTGTCTTGAAGAGGAGAATCCCTGGATTGGGAGGCCAAGCACAGGGCTAAACCGCAGAGCCGGAGCTAGAGAATTGAGAGCCTATGCAGTCAGGCCACCTCCTTTACTGCTGGGCCTCAGCCTTTTGTTGCTCAAGTTGTACCAGAACACATTCACACATCAGGTCCTGAAGCACAGTGGGCAGCAGTGGGCAGGGAAGCACCTGCTCCCCCATGGTGGGGCTCCCTGTGGATAAGAGGGACTGTGGCCCCGGCTGACTCCAATCCATCCTTTCTCCTGTGTGGGATGGGGTGACAGGCAGTGATGTCACATGGGCCTGACCTTGCCTGTCCTCTAACTTATAAACAAGAGTTCACATGCTAGCAGACTTGGGTGCTTTTCACCTATCTCACTGACAAGTGATGGGTCAGGACTGGGCTGGGACCGGGGGTGGGGGGACATGTCGCTGTGTTAGAACTGTGATCACTAGAGAGCATTAGACATGCTGACCTCCTGGCCTTGCCAGCCTCTACCGCTGCCACTCTCTTTCTAGGCTCTCCATCCCAACTGGTGCCAACAGGTCAAGTTCATTCCTCAGCTGAACACAGTGGCCTCCTGTTCGGCCATTGAGAAGTCCTCTCTGGTGCTAATAGCATTGCCATCTAAAGCCCCAGAGAGCCCCAAGTAAGGAGCACCTCTCTCTGGGCTGGAGTTGGGAGGGGGAGCATTTAGGAGAGGGGGGATGTGATGGTACAGTGACGGAGGCTCCGGCTTCATCTGAGCCACATGTGGCCACCCCTGCTGAGAGTGGGCCCACCTCCAGGACAGCAGCATCCTGTGGATCTCGGTGGGTCCGAGGAAGCAGCAGTTGTCCTGTGGGCCAACAGTGTGGTATGGTGGTTCACACCTGGGCTCTGCAGTCTTTTTCTTTTTTTAAATTAATATATAATTGACATATAACATTATTAGTTTCAGATGTGCTACATAATGATTTGGTTGGTATTTGTATATATTGGGAAATAATCACCACAATAATAGTTAACAACCATCCACACACAGTTACATTTTCTTTCCTATGACAAGAACTTTTACAGAGTCTGGTTTTAATCATCACTACCAGCAGCAAAAATATAACAAGCCTCTTTTATCTACCAATACATATGTAAAACTCAGCACAGAAGCTGGCACATAGTGTAAAGCAGGCAGTCAGAAAAGTATTTTCTGGATGGAGGAATGAATGTAAGTTGCTTTATGTCTGTGCCCCTCAGTGTCCTCGTCTGTAGAAGGGGGTGATAGCAGTGTTTCTTTCCCTTATCCCAGGGCTTACTTGAGTGACTGCTGTTTGTGGTATATGGTCAATAATTGGCAGCATTTACTCTTTGGAGATGGTTCTAATCTCTTTCCTTTATTCCGAGTTCCTCTACCACAAAGTGGATTTTTTTCCATCTTTCCTCCTTGCTTCTCTCCCTTTCCTTCCATCCCTCCTTCCCTCTCCCCTTCCTTCCTTGCCTCCCTATTTTTTTCCTTCCTTCCTTCCTCCCTCCCTCCCTTCCTTCCGTTCCTCCTTCCTTCCTTCCATCTGTCCTCCTTCCCTCCCTTCTTCCTTCCATCTGTCCTCCTTCCCTCCCTTCTTCCTTCCATCTGTCCTCCCTCCCTCCCTCCTTCCTTACTTGTCAGCGATTAGTCACACTAGTAAGTCCATGTACATGGTTTGACTCTGTAAAAAATAAAACATAAATAAAGCTCAAGCCTTCCCTTGCCCAATCCCCACTGTCTCACTCTGTTCTCAAGTGTCTTACTTCTATCATTTTCATGTGTACCTTTTTAAAAGTTATTTTTAAATTTTTTGGGGCACCTGGGTGGCTCTGTCATCGGTTAAGCATCTGCCTTTGGCTCGGATCATGATCCACAGGGTCTTGGGATGGAGCCCTGCTCAGCTGAGAGTCTGCTTCTCCCTCTTGCTCTGTTGCCCACCCTGCTGGTGTGCTTGCTGTCTCTTGCGTGCTCTCTGTCTCTCTCTCTCCTCCCCCCACCCCTTCTCTCTCTGTCAAATAAAATCTTTAAAGAAAACATAAAATTATTTTGATTTATTTATTTGTTTTAGAGAGAGAGGATGGGCAACGGCAGAGGGAAAGGGAGAGAGAGAAGCTTAAGCAGGTTCCACATCAATGCAAGGCTCAATCTCATGACCCCAAGATCATGATCTGAGCTGAAATCAAGAGTCTGATGCTTAACGACTGAGCCACCCGGGTGCCTCTTATGTGTATCTTTCACTGTGCATTTCACAGTAGATATTTTCTCCTGAGGGATCCCCCCCCTTGCCTTTGCTGTTTTCCTGTTTTCCTCCTGAGGCAGGTCTTTACCCCCTGGGCCCTTTGGGTCTGTGACATTTTGTTTCTGGGCAGGTTGAACCGTGAGCTGCACCCCGTCTTCTCTGGAGAGCAGCAGGAGATTGGATGCCTGTGTTGGGGGAGCAGCTGAATGAGACACAGCAGGACGACTGAGGCCATTTTGGCCCTGTCTCTGTCTGTTCCTTCCTGCCCTGGTTGTTTTCCAGAGGGAAATTCAATCCTGGGACGTTAGGGCTAATTCATTCCAACTCCTCGTTTTACAGATCGGAAACTTGAGACTTGGGGTGGGGTGGGGGGAGGAAGTGCCTGTGTTAGAGCAAAGGTTTGAATGGGGGAGCCTCATGGTTACCCAGAGTGCTCTGCACACATCCCCCTGCCAAGCCCTGGCACCAGTTGCTGGTTGGAGGGGGCCCCAGCGAAGGCCTGATGCAGTGAGGGAGCTTCAGCCTTGGCTTCTGTGCCTTGGGTGAGGCCGTGTGCTGCGATTTTACTTGGAGTTGATTTACAGCAGGGCTCATGTCTTTGACTTTGATACCTCACGTCTGTGATATGTTTCATTGAGCTTCTTGTTTTATTTATGTATTGGGTCTCAGTGGCAGGTGGTTATCACAGATCACCTCCTCCTGGCCATGAGGGTCTCCATTATCTGTCCCTGCTGCTCTCCTCATCTCACCTCTTCTACCTTCCTACTCCAGTCACATTGGTCAGCCACCTTGTGGTTTGGGCACGCTCCTGCCCCAGGGCCTTTGAATTGGTCCTTCCTGCCTGGTATGCCCTTATTTCTTATTTGTTTTTACTTTTTAAACATTCTCATTACTAAAATTTTAAACAGAGAAGTAGAGAAAATACTATAATACTTTAATGTCACTAGTACTGAGTCCAAGTTAATCTTCCCCCGGTTGACTCAAACATATTTTTTTATAATTATGTTGTAAGAGATATAAACAAGTCTTTAGGTTTGGAGTACAGGAATGGCATGGTCTGATGTGCAGGAGCATCCTTCTGGCTGTTCGGCTGCAAGTGGAGTGGTCAGGTGCTGAGACAGGGGACCCCAGTGATGATGCCATTGTAACAATTCAGGCCACCTATGCTGATGGCCTGGAATCAGCCAGTGGGGTGGAGATGGAGGGATTTGAGATGCATTTGGGGGGCAGATTGGAGAATGTATTTATACACATGCAAGCACACATGCCCTTGGGGTTGTCTGCACGCAGTACACCTGCCAGCTGGCAGGTGGCACCACTGACTGCTTGCTGCCCTTTAGTACCAGGCCAGGACCTCTCAGCGTGGCCTCCATGGGTGGGGTCTGGCATTGTCACCCCAAACTCTGCCTCTAGAGTCAGACTCAGCCTCCAAGGCACTGTGGGCCTGAGAGCTTAGCTCCCTGGCAGCCAGCCCGAGCTAAATTTTCAGGTGCTTGCAGCCAGCAGTGAATCTGAGCAGAGGAGCAGGGTGGAGTTGGAGGGAACCTGTGCTGGGTGTGTGGACTGACTTATAGCATGTCCCCTGCTTTCCCCCTCTTCTCTTACTTCTGCCCCCACCACCAAGTCAAAGCCACCTGAACTGCTTGCCATGGCCTTCTTCCCTCTGACCTTCTGGTCCCTTCTCTGCACAGCAGCCATCTGCAGACTGGTCCCCTAAAGTGACCCTGTCAAAGCAACCTGTTTATTTCCCTGCAGGACCTGCCACAATCTGTAAATGTCCGTCTCCTTTTCTCTCTGTTTATTTACTTGTTCCTGCTGTTTCTCTCTGGAAGGAAAACTCCATGAAGGCAGGGACATCTCATTTATGCCCCGGTAATCTGGAAGGGTGTAGATGCCAGGAAATCTTTGTTGCATGAGTGAGTGAATCAGCCTGAAGTAATTCCTAGTGACATTTTGGTGACCATTCTTCCAGAAGATTTCTCTGTGCATAGATGCATGGAAGGAGATGTATCTAGTTTGACAATAAATGAAATACATGTGTTTGATGTGTTCCTCTTGAAGTTTCAGTTTTTCGAGGAATCCTTCTTGCTGTAGAAGGGAGAGCAGATTTGCAGTGGGAGCACGACTGGAGGTTGAGAGACCTGCTGGGAGGCTGATGCAGACATGAAGGGGGCCTGACCTGAGCAAAGGCCAGGGCCCTGGTGGGACAAAGGCAATGAGGGTTGGGCCCAGCTGGATAATGGGAATGCTGGCGAGGGAGCCTTCAGGATGACCCCAGGCAACCAGGTTAGTCCCCCAGGGAGTGGCAGAGGAGCCAGTTCAGGGGCAATTCAGTGGAGGGCATACTCCATTAGAGGGCTGGGGAACTCTACAATGAGGGCCTCTGAGTTGAGTTTTGAAGGGTAAATTTGAGTAGAAGGAGCTGACAGGTCAGCATGTGCAAAAGCTCAGAGCTTCCAGTACTCTCAGGCCTGACCTTCCTAAAACCCCTGCCTGGGTCACCCTGGCCCTTCTGAGCCCCATTTGGATGTACCTATTCCTTCCAGACCACTGGTGACTGAGCCCCCTGCCTCTTCCTGCCATGCCCACCCTGGGTCTGAATTTAGATGCCCCATGCCTTTCTGCTTTCCGTGTCCTCACTGTGGCACAGGGCTGATGACACTCTCTAGGATTATGGAAGGAGTCCAGGTGATGCACGAGACAGCACCCAGCACAGAAACCAGCACAGAACAGCCAGGGGCACAGCACCTGGGAACTTCCCCTCCTCTGGCCCTTCTTTTTAAAAAGTTCGTATCATAGGTAGGAGGATGCATATCTCAGTATGGTTGAAGTGAGGATTAAGAGTGCCCTTGGGATGAGGCAGATGTATTATAGTTGTCAGGAGTTGCTGCTGCTTTGGGGGTGCTCTCACCTACAGGGGAGAGGTGGGCATCTCCTCCATGAGCTGCTGGTTTTGGGCTGAGCTCCACGGCGGCCACCCTGCCTCTGGTGCTCAGCCCTGACCCTTCTCCAGCTGCCCTGCTTGGGTGCTGCTTCTCTCCCTGAGTGGAAACGTAATGGCTTCTCCCTGGCCTCCCTGTGGCCCTGACTCCAGCTCCTCTCACTCCAGCCTCGCAGGCTTCCCTGTGGCCCTTCATCCCAGCCTCCAGCCCGACCCCTTTGTTGTTGTAGGTTTTCAGTGCTGAACTTAAGAAAAGGGATTCTTTGCTTCGATTACTGCCCAGACAAGAACTTAGTGGGTAAGCGATCTTCGTATTCTGCAGAAGCCGCTGGCCTGGTAGGACTGAGGTGAAGGCTGCCAGGGTCATGGGGACGAATAGAGCTGAGGAGGGGGCCCTGCAGTATCCGGCCTCTGTCCGGGCTCCGCTCCTGCCACTCTGGTCCCTGCCCGTAGGTAGGTACTTGGGGCAGTGTGGTGACACGGGCTCTGCTTGGCATGATGGCTCTGCTTGGCATGATGGCATAGGCTGTGGGGGAAGGAGCAGCAAAGGGGCAGGTTAGAACCATAACTCCCCACCTGCCACACTTGCTTGGGGCTCAAGGCCCGGTCCTAGGAGAAGGTCCCAGCACCCACCACCCCCTAGTGGTTGATACCCATCTTTTGACCTCAGTGACCGGTGGCTATGACCCCCTCATCCGCCTGTGGAACCCCTTCTTATCAAAAAAGCCTGTGTGGATGATGAAGGGGCATCAGACTTCCGTGACGCACATCCTCGTGAACAGCAAGAACAACAGCATCCTCCTCAGCATCTCCAAGGACAAGGTGCTGCTCTCTGGAGCCGGGCTCTCCCACTCCCACTGGCTCCTGTTCCCGGCAGAGGCGCTGGCCCCGGGGTAATAATGCAGTTTGGCCAGGCCAGGCACTGGTGTTGGCAGCAGCCTGCAGCCCAGGCGGGTGGTGTGACCTCCTGGCCCCAGGAGGTCCTGGCCTAGGCACAGAGGGAGCTGCCCCAGGTGGAGTCCTGCACCCCACTCTGAGCGGTCCAGCAGAGCTGGGTTCCCATAGAACCCAGACTGGCTTCTTACCCCGTGGGCCTTTTCTGAGCTTCAGTCCCTTCATCCACAGGATGGGGGTTGAGAGGTTTAGAGAGAACTGGGCGGTAAAGCAGCAGTGTCACGTCTGGCACATAGGAGGTATACAATACGTGTGAGGCACTCCCCTGCCCTCCCCCTTCCCCCAGAACCAAACTCGCACCTCAGCTTTCCTGGTGACCCTACTCCAGCTGCCCTGGCTCTCAGGGTCTGACTAGACCTTCTCTCAGTGCCCAGGGCTCCCAAGTTCAGGGCCTGTCACTTTGCTCATAGGCATTGATTGGTTCAGAGTACCACCCCATCTGCTGGGCTGCTCGAGTGTTCTGGCCAACATGGTGATGCAGGCCAACAGCTCAAGGTTCCCTCCTTCAGGGCACATTTTTGTGTCTTTTGGGACTCAGTAGGTTGAAAGTTGTCAGGACCCTTAGGTCACTGATGCCATGTTCCCTGACACAGCACACACTTGCTATTATCTGGAACTTTCCTGGTAGCCCCAAGAATTGGGCGTCATGGCCTATGCTGCAGGAGCCGAGGCTGGAGGGGTGGGGGACCGGGATGGGCTGGCCCAAATCCTCACAGTAATGATAGGCAGAGGCAGGGTATGGATCAGAGTCTGATCGATCCCAGTCCAGGCCGTTTCCTGCTTACTGCTGATGTTTCCAAGCAATGAGCATCCTGGAGGGACTTCAACTTGGGCTGAACTCGAGGAGGCTGCAACTCTGTTGGTAGCCACTGTGTGCTATGGCTAGCTTTAGTTGAGGTAGGCTGCATGAGGAGCCTATGAGGGTCTGCAGGGGCTCATGCTGTCTTGCTTGGTCTTTATCCTCAGGCATCGAGGGGCAGCTGCTCCAGGAGGAGGCCCTGGGGGAAGGCTCTGAATAGGGGATGCCTCAGTTTCCTCATCTGAGTATAAGAAGAGCATCCCTATTGTACGGTTGGGATGTGTGCAGTAGGCATATGTCGAAGTTCTTGTGCCAGGTGCCACTGGCCCTACTCACATCCTAAGGCATCAGGTGCCCTCTGCATCCCTGAGCGCCCACTCTTAGCCTCTTTGCCTGTTTCTCACCACCTTCCCTAGAATATTCGCGTGTGGGACATGCAGGACTACATATGCCTCCAGTCCTTTTCCAGGAAGCTTTTTGCCCTGGGAAACTGCCCCATCACCAGTGTCTACTTCCACAAGAATGAAGACAGTCTCATCTGTAGCACCTTTTCAGTGAGTGCTGTGTGCGAGGGAGCAAGCCCCTGCTCCTGGGCAGGAGCAGGGAGTGTATTAATTAGACATTGCCTCAACCCTCAAGGAACCTAGGAGGTAGAAGGAGAACAGAGAATGTCAGAAGAAAATCCTCCATATTGTGATGGAGATTTATGTCAGGTGCTTCTCAGAGCACAGAGATCCTTAGCCTAGCTTTAGGCAGGGCTTGGTCAGAGAAGGCTCCCTGGAGGAGGGGTCACCAGATTGAGGCTGTAAGCTTCCCAGAAGTTATGAGGGTACCTTGGATTTCCACGGAGTAGGGTTGAGAGGTATCAGTAGGCAGGCTGACAAGCCAAGAGGCCTCGCTGGGGTCAGGTCCATGCACAGTCAGGATGTCTTGATGTTGCAATTTATTGGAAGTTTTTCCCCTGGGGCCAGTCATTGGGGGCGAGCTCTTCCAACTGCCCAGCTGCCTGCCCCTCTCCTCACCTACAGATTGGGATCCTAAAAGGGTACTTGGAGACCGAGGGGCCTGGGAAACCAAAGGAGAGGACCACAACTTACAGCACACCCCTGTGTGCTGTTCTCTACAGCAAGATTTTTAAGCAGGTGAGTGGACTGGGGCTGGTGGTCTCTCAGGTTGACAGGAGTCCCAGGTGACATAGGGCAGGACTCAGACCTCCCGATGTGTCCAGAGCTGCATCTAAGGAGCAGTCAGCACAGTGGCAGGGTGGGGGTAGGATTTATAGCTTTGAAGGTGGTGTGGGGCAGTGGCCTATGAATGAGAAGCAGCCCTGCAGAGGGGTCAGCGGCATGAGGTGGGGTGGGAGCTCCACCACTTGGCCAGAGGATCACCTTACTCCTCTGAGCCTGTGTGCTCCTGCCCCTGCCTCAGCTCAGTGCTGGACACACAGTCTTCTGTACACAGAGGGTGAGAGGGAGCACTGGGTAAGGGCTGGTGTGAGATTCTCAGTGTGGGTGCTGTTCCTGGATGTCATTAAACAGGAAAGCCCCAGTCCAAGGAAGATCGGCACCTGGTCCTGAGTAGAGATCTCTGGGTGGGGTGGAACAACCGAGTACATGGTATGGTCCCAGAGGGGGCTCCCCTTCCCTCTTCCCACTTCCATGGGGACCACTTTTCTGGCCTGGGCTCTGGGCAGGACAGGCTGTATCTGCTGTGGGGTGGCATGAGGCCATTTACCTCTCTGCTCTCCTCTCTCAGGCCTGCTCCTGGCACCACCATCCTGCATACCTTAGGGATCTGGTATGCTTTCAAACACTTAAAATCCCCAGCTTTTCTAGATTATTCTCAGGAGGGTTGGTCTGAAATAGGCCCACCTGTTCCTGTTGCACTGACGTGGAGTGGCCTTCCCTTGTTCTCAAGTTCCTTTCTTGGGGACAATGAGTGGGTTTCCTATTGTCACTGCCACCCCAGTATTAATGATGCTTCAGTAAATATCTTTTCTGAAGTAGAGATTATTTTCTCTGGATAGATTCTGATAAATGCCATTTCTGAGTTAAAGGGGCTTTCACCAATATGGTTACTTCTAAAAGAGTTGCGCCGGCTGGCACTGGCCTCTGCTAAAGAGCCGAGGAAGGCCTGTCTTCAAGGGCTCTTCTGGCAGCAGAAAGGCCCCGGATGCCTGTCCTCACAGTGCTTGACGGGGAGGTGGGGGACTGGGCCAGCCCCAGCCACGACAGGTGGACGCCACCATCAGGAGTGAGGATGCTCTCACTCTAGGAGCCCCGGCTGTGTGCTCCCCCGCAGGTGGTAAGCGGCTGCCTGAGCAGCTTGGTGAGTGTGTGGGAGATCAAGACAGGCAAGAGGATGATGGAGTTCTCTGTGACTGGCGACCAGCAAGTGGAGCTGACCACCATGTGCCTGGATGAATCCGAGCGGTGCCTGCTCACGGGTTTGCGCGACGGCACCATAAAGATGTGGAACTACACTGTGGGTGAATGCTTGCTGACCTTCCCCAACCCGGACCAGCTGGAGGTCCGTCTGGTCTGTCAGCCGGGGCCAGGGGTGCTGTGTGAGAAGTGAGGCACAGCTCTCAAGGCTCTAGGCCTCCCTTGAAGGCTGTGACCATACACTGCTTGGCTTTAGGCTTTCCTGAGCCTTTGTGTTCGCCCCTGTAAAGTGAAGATAGCCAACAGTGCCTGGCTTTATTAAGGATGAGTGCTAGCTACTCTTGTCCTTTCAGTTTGTTAGCAAGCCTTACTCTAGGTATGAGAGCTTCAGATGGGAATTTTTTTTTCTTTGTTAAATATTTTATTTATTTATTCATGAGAGACACACAGAGAGAGGCGGAGACATAGGCAGAGGGAGAAGCAGGTTCCATGCAGCCCGATGCGGGACATGATCCCAGGACCCCCGGGACCATGCCCTGAACTGAAGGCAGATGCTCAACCATTGAGCCATCCTGAATGGCATTTCTAGCAGTGGGGCCAGGTGAACCACATACTCCTTTTTGGGAAATGTCTGAGAGCATCATAGGGCTGTGTGTCTGTGGGGGTGGCTCAAAGCAAAGCCTATAGTTCCACTTTGGACCTAAGCCCCTTACTAACTCTTATGAAAGTCCTTTAACCAACTCCAAAGGAGCCCTTGGCCAAGTTGCTAGGGATCTGAGTACTGGTCCAGGTCCTATCACTTAGTTTTTGACCTTCTAGGTCAGTAGGTATCCGCATATTAAGTGGACATGGATACCTATCCTCTCTTCCTCCTCCAAGTCTATCAAATGGGATATTGTGAGCACATTCTGAAAAATATATGGTGGTATCACTTCTAGGGAACTCTTATCATCATGGAGAGGTTTGACTTCTTGCTTGGTATGATTAGGAAGACATGCGGGGCCCAGGGCCATTTCCTCTGAGGTGCCTTAGGGTTCTGTTTTCTTTCATCTTCACTAGATTAGCGGGATTGTCCATATGAACAAAGTGTTCTACGTGACTGGATGGAGTAAGAGAATCACCTGTTTCATGTGAGTAGCAAGGGCACTCACTGTTGACTGTTCTCTACTTCACATGGGGTCCTCCATTCCTAGCTCCCCTGGTTGGAAGACCAAGCAAGAAATTCATGGTGAATAACATTCAGTGCTTCATCTGCTTACCCGTCCATTCCTTCATCAGTCCATGAGGCTACCATGTTCTAGATTTTGTGCTATGTGCTGGAGATGGGTATAAACAATGATGGGGTTTCTGTCCTCCTAGGGGGAGGCAGATGCTAATAAAATGACTTCATTTATGATGATAAAGTCTTTTTTTAAAAAGGTTTTATTTATTTATTCATGAGAGACAGAGAGAGAGAGAGAGGCAGAGATATAGGCAGGGGGAGAAGCAGTCTCTCTGTGGAGACCTGATGCAGAACTTGATCCAGGACCCTGGGATCATGCGTGAGCTGAAGGTATATGCTCAACCACTGAGCCACCAGTGCATCCCGATGATAAAGTCTTTTGAGTGCTGTGGGGAAAAAAATGTACAACTTTCTATGGGGAGGGGATGGAAATCTGATTTAGTCTCAGGGGCAGTCCGGAAAGGCTCATCTGAGGATGTAGTGGGTGGAGTGGGATCTTCTCAGTGAAGCAGCAAAGGGCTTGGTGTAGGAGGGACATTCTAGGCAGAGGGAACAGAATGTGCAAGGCCTCTTCCTTTTTAGAGGGCTTTGTTAGGGCCATGGCTTCTCTCCTTTAATCCTTACTCAGATGTCTGAACAGGGCAATTCTGGAAGATTAGTTTATATAAAGTCCCTGGGACAGAGCCTTTGTAGTTGGCACATAGTAGGCGCTTAGTAAATGAGGTCAGTGGGGCAGAGCTTCAACCTGACTGCCTTCTCCCAAGTTGCCTCCCAGAATCTAAAGGCCTTGATGTTTCCTTCCTGTGGAGCACTGAAGGCCAAGTTCCCTGCCCTCCCTGTTCTGGCCCTCTGTAGGCTCCATAAGACCAAGCCAGTCCTCCTGTGCTACCAATGGCAGAGCTTCCACAAGGAAGATGTTCTGAGCATGGCCAAGTACCAAAACCAGTTCCTTGGGACCTCTTCCTACAATGGAGATATTCTCTTCTGGAACATCAACCTGTTCAAGCCTATCCTCAATTTCAATGCTTCTAAGAGCCCCTGGCCTTTGCTGCCCAAGAAGGTATGGTCTGTCTCGGCTATGGGTGAGAATCAGCTGGAGGGCCTAGAACGGGCAGGAAGCATTCCTGGGAAGGGGAGGGCACGTGATGACTTTGGAGGCAGTTGGAAGCTAGATAGTTGGGTGCTAGTTTCTATAATTATTCTTGTTTGACAGACAAGGAAACTGAGGCACAGGGAGGTTAAACATCTTGCCTGAGGTTGCACAGCTAAGAAGTGATAGGTCCAGACCCAGGCAGTCTGACTGCAGAGGCTGTGCTGCTGGTCGTGTTCCTCTGTCTCTCCTTGAAGGCAGTTCCTATCTTACTCATACTGTTAATCCGGGCTCACTGAGCTCATGGGAGGGATCTAGGAAACCCACACTATCTCTGAATTATGCTATCTTTGCAGATGAAAGCTGGAAGGGGCCTTCAGGGTCACCTCATCCAGTGACTTTCCAAACATGTTGGGGAGAGATGCTCAGAGGCTACTGTAGCAGCTTCCCCTAGAGTAGTTGGGGTTTTTACCTATTTTATACTTTGGAACTTCCCTTAAGATTAAAAATGACCTCACAAATATTTGGAAACCATTGTCCATTTTACAGATGGAGAGACCTAGTCCCTCATGGGAGTAGTATCTGCCTGTGGGTACTCAGGGCATTCATGGTTGGCCCCGGGACAGGGTTATGAGCTCCTGTTTGATGACTGTTAGGGTACTCAGTTTCTAGGGAGCAAGCCCTGGGGCACCTGGAGGGCCCTTACTGGGCTGAGGAGGCCCTGCATTTCTCTCTGGGACATTACAGTGTCACAGGGGCGGTTGTCTCCCTGGCATAGATCCAAGAAGCGGACAACTCCCTGGCTGAGAACCTCCAGTCCAGCAAGCTTTGTGTGGAACATAAGGAGTGGGCGTACAAACCATCAACGCAGCCCCTGGGCCCTAGAGCCAGGGCTGTAGCCAATGCCAACCTGCAACGGAACCTGATGTCAGCTCCCCCAGTGATGAAGCGCCCCAGAGACAAGGAGCCAAAAAAGCCCATGCCCCCGCAGGTGGGAGCGGAGCTGAGGCAGGTGACTACCCTCATTTGCTAGCTACCTGTGTGCCTATTGTGTTTGTGTCCTTATATGGAGCAGTTGATGGAGGGTCCATCAACTTGCTTTGAGCCTTGCAGTGAGGCAGGCCACCTCCCTGGTTAGATTCACCATATGCACCCCACTCTGCTGCCTCAAGCCTGGGCATGCTCCTTTCCTAGAGCATGGCCAGTACCAGACTGCAGCATCTACAAGCTCAGGGGCCAGACCTGGAGGGCAGACCACCCAAAGAACCTGGAATCAACCATAGGCTAGTTGCTGGGGCTACTTTTTCAGTCTCCCAGCAGGTGTGACCTGGCACAGATGAGCCACTGGGGCCTGCCTACTTCTGCTGCTGAGCCTCATCTCCCTAGAAACCAGGCTTCAGGGGTCTGAGGCCCAAGTAGAGGCAAACTACTTCCCTTTCCCTCTGACCTCTCATCTCTGCCCCAGGATTAACACTGGGGCAGCCTTGACTGATGATCCCATTGTGAGGGGGTAGGGAGATAGAGCGGGGGATTTGGCTTCTGCAGTGAGTACAGTATCTCTTGTGTGGGGCCAGGGGAGCCCATCAGACTGCTTCAGCCCTTGAAGCCTGATTCCCATTCCTGGAAACTGAGGTTTGAAAGAGAGTTCCCTCCCCTGCCCCCCACACCCTTCCACCAACACATGACACTTGTCAGGAGTAGGCAGAGTAGACCTGGAGCCCACGTGGCCTGCTCCAGCAGGTTCTACTCTAAGGCGCTCACACTGCACTACTGCAGGATGCTTGGAGCACCTCTGGAGTATCGGGGCTGCACCACTGCACTAACATCTTCTAGAGCAATGGGTATATACTCCCTAACCCTCTCCTTTGACCAGCGGTCTCTTCAGGACAAGGCTGGGGTGGGGGTGTACTCTAAAGGCAAACTCAAGTCTCTACCCTGAGAATGGAAGCTTCTGGTTACTTAAAATGGAGACTCCCCAGCGCTGGAGTGTCTTTACTACAGAATCCTTTACATACTTGGCTGGGCCTTTCGCAGGGCAGTGTATCTACTGAGGAGGGCTGGGCTGGCTGTACTTCCAGCATCTGCCTCTGGTCTCTGTTCCCCCACAGAGTAGGGAGACACTCCCCCACCATGATGATCTGGGAGGCCCATTTTTCTTTCCAGAAACATGTCAGTTCACAAAGCCCCAAGCTGTTAAGAATGCCCCATGGCAAACAGTCCATCATCAGAGACGCTCAAAGGAAGAGAGGGGAATTCCAGAAGAAGATACTACTGCAATCCAACACATCAGTGGAGAAGGTGGGCCACGTGTAGGCAGGGTCTGGTCTGTGAGCTGGGCATGAACAGTCGGGTTGGGCTGGGAAGGGCAGGGCCGACAAGCCTAGGGGGCCAGCCTGATTCTCCCCAGGACCTGGAGAGGCATAGTGGAGGTGAAGGTACCATTCAGGATTCTGGCTTGAGGGCTGCTGTGGTGGGGGTTGTGGGGAAGCTCCTTGGGTGTGCATGGAGGGCTGTCAAGAGTCCACTTCTGGTTGGTGGGCTGGACTGGGAAGTAGGAGAAGCAGCATTGCCAGAACCCACTATTAAAATGCCCTTCTGAGCTCTAGTAGGGTGTTTTGTACAGCATGTGAGAAGGGATTGGGTCATCTCTGTTCTCCCTCTTGCACCTTTTCCCTCGCTGACCCTGGGTGCCCCACACTGTGTTGTCACCACTAGATGAAGTCATCACTAAGGTCCCTTCTAGTTTTGATCCACAAAGATAACAGTAATTCAGAGACTACTTGGGTTCCCTAAGTCCCTACCAGGGGCCTAGTGAAAATACACATCATAGTTGTGTCAGGGTGTGGCAGGACTGCCCCCTTTCCCAGCTCTAGGACACTGGGGACCTAGGAATAGGGGAGCAGTGCCCTGCAGAGCTGGGTCCTGCAGTGGTGGAGTGGAGAGCTGTGAGTGGTTGGACTGTCTGTCCTCCAGATTCTGAATGCACTTCTGTCTCTTTTAGAAACTGCCTTGGGGTGCCTGCCTGGCTCAGTTGGTAGAGTATGCAATTTTTGATCTCGGGTTGTTAGTTCGAGTCTCACATGAGATGTAGAGATTACTTAAAAAAAAAAGCCTTAAAAGAAAAAAAATTTTCAAAGTAGTAACACTAGTTGGTTAAAAAAAAGAAAATAAAAGAAATGTGTATAAAGCAAAATATAAAGGTCCTAAACATGTCTCATTCACCCCACCCCACCCAATAAAATAGTAGCAGCCACAGTCACTTGTAGTGGATTGGTGAACTGGGTTTGCCTTTATCCTTTTTATTTTTAGACCAGTGATATAAAATTATAGTTATGTCCTACCATGTACTTTTAAAAAATTTAACTATGTGGCATGGAGATGTTTTCATATCAGTAATTTAGATTCATCTTATTCTTTTGTTAACTTGTCTTATTCTTTGTAATAATTGCAGAGTGCCCGTAGTTTGAATGTGTCACAAACGATTAAGCCAGCCTTCTCTTGATAGACATGTAGGTTAATTCCAATTAACTTTGATGAGCAGCTCTGCATTGAATGTCCTTGTACATATGCTTCTGTGCACTTTTGTAAGTGCACTGAAAGGATGGATTCCTGGAAACAATTGCTCAAAAGATCCTATCCCTTTCAGCCTCTGAGTCTGACCAAAGTAGATGACTCAAAGTCTGACCTTTGGCTGTGACCTAGTCCCATCAGGGCACAGACAGTTATTCATTGAGTGTTTACCACATGCCAGGCTCTGGGGGTGGCAGCAGGGAATAAAAGAAACAAAAACCTGTGCCCTCATGGAGCTGACTTCTAGTTGGGGTGAGACAATTAACCAGCAAGTAAAATAAACGGTAGGTCATGGGTGAGTAAATACAGTGGAGATCCAGAAAACTGAGGCTAGAGTAGGGAGGATGGCAAGGGAGATGGAGAGGTGTGGCTGTTTGCATAGGGTGGTCAGGGAGGGCTTCACAGAGGAGGTGGCATTTGCAGAGTTTGAAGCTCTAGTTATTTGGAAGGATGGTGAAGCAGGCAGAGGGAGCAGCAGGTGCAAAGGCCTCACAGGAGAGCTTATTTGAAATGTTCAATAAAGAGCACTTCTCTCTCTCTCTCTCACTCTCTCTAATTAGAATATGGTACATGTCCTTCATTAAAACTGAAAACTTCGGGATCCCTGGGTGGCGCAGCGGTTTGGCGCCTGCCTTTGGCCCAGGGCGCGATCCTGGAGACCTGGGATCGAATCCCACGTCGGGCTCCCTGCATGGAGCCTGCTTCTCCCTCTGCCTGTGTCTCTGCGCCTCTCTCTCTCTGTGTGTGTGTGTGACTATCATAAATAAATAAAAAAATTAAAAAAAAAAAACTGAAAACTTCAAGCCTTACAGGAGTGTATAAAATAAAAGAATGACTTGCCTTCTTCCTCAATCTCCAGGGGTAACTAGTTTTAAGGCATGTGGTATCCTCATAGATGCCTTTCTGTGCATACACAAGTACATACATATATGAAAGTATATGTGTTCCTATAAATATTTTTTAGCCAAATAGTATCCTCTTATTTATACGCTACTCTGCAGGTTGCTCTTTTTCATCGACACCTCATGACATCTCTTCCTGCAGTATCTGTGGAGCCCTGGCCTCTCTTTTACTAGCTGCATGGCATTTTGGTATATGCTATGCCTGACCTGTCCAGGCTGGCCCACTGTTTCTGCTAGAGGGGTAGATTTATAGGCTCTGCCTTTATAGCAACATTGGATCTCTTGTCTATTTCAGGGACTCCAGGATTAGAAATGCACTCTTAGAAAGAAAGCTTTTGGTATGTTGCGCTATATTCCAGCCTAATAATAATAGCAACAGCAGTTAATATTTACTGGGCTCTTAGTATCTGCCAGATGTGAGCTTAAACATTTACATGAATTATTTTTCTTTCTCAAACAGCCCTGGTGGGTACGTATTATTACTATTCCCATTTTATAGATAGAGACTGGGGCTCAATGAGGTGAAGTGACTTGTGCAAGATTCTCATTGTCAGAAAATAACTGAGCCAAGGTCTGATTCCAGATCTGTTGGTTTTCAAAGTCTGTGTCCTTGACTCTTTGTCCTGCTACAATTGGGAATTCCTTGGGCTTTTTATCTGGACTGGTGATCTGTGTGTAATATACATATTTCTAAAGATTTTATTTATTTATTCATGAGAGACACAGAGAGAGAGAAAGAGAGAGAGGCAGAGACATAGGCAGAGGGAGAAGCAGGCTCCCCATGGTAAGCCTGATGTGGGACTTGATCCCAGGACCCTAGGATTACACCCTGAGCCAAAGGCAGATGCTCAACCACTGAGCCACCTAGTGCCCCAATCTGTGTGTAATATGATTTGTGTCATGAACCTTGACAAGAATCTTTGTAGATTGCATGCAAAGGGCTGAATGTCTATTGGTGAAATTTCAGGCACTGTGGTTTGTGTGTGTGCACATGTCCTGTGCAAGGCTGGTCCACATCTAATGTTGACCTTGCTTCCTGGCTTCTAAGTGCTCTGTCTTGTACCTCCACTGTTCCTGAAATAGCAAAGTCCTTTCCCTCTGGGGAACTGGGTGGCAGACAGAGTGGAATGTCTCAGGATGGTGCCCTGGAGAGGGTCCCCCTTGGTCCAAGCCTTTCCCTAGTAGATGAGAGTCAGGTGGACGGGGTAAAATGGGGAGTTTTACCTGGCAGGCTTCCTGCAACCATTTCTGTCTGGCCCTTGGAGGGAGATAAGGACATAGATCCAGGTGCAGCTGTGTCTCTTATGGTCTGTAGATGAAGGCCCAGTCCTTGACCCTCTCCTTTGCAGTGAGGGACGAGATGGGTGGGGAGTAGCAAACCCCTCCTAGAGGCATGAAGCCCAGCCCAGGTGTAGCTTGAGCTTCTTCTGCAGGGGTCCCAGGCAGATCTTTAGTTGCCCTGCTCCTGAGAGCTGTCTGGGACCCCTGGGATGAGTGAGGCTGGAACACCAACCTCAATCCAGAAGCTCTTTCCAAATTGGGCAGGAGACTCTCTTCAAAGTCTCAGGGGCCATGTGCAGAGCACAAAAAGAATAGTGTTGCTTACCTGCCTTCCAACCCCATGGATCCTGCTCAGTCCTGCCCAGGGCAGAGCATCCTACTGTGTCCACTCCAGACACTGGCCACAGCCCTGACTATGTCCTCCTGCAGACCCATGGCCCTCTCTGAGCCTGCAGCAGTCTCTGGCCATCATGTACCTTCAGTCTGCCTGTTCAAGCTGTCCCAGGGGTGGTGCAGGAAGGATTGGGAAGGAAGCCTCAACTTTCCCCAATTCAGAAATGGGAGATCTTGGTGGCACATCATTTTGGTGAATCCTGTGTTGGTATGAGGAATCACATTTTATGAGAATACTTAATGATCTGGGGTCAGCTTATGACAAAATTATCTTTAAAAATGATAAATAGGGGATCCCTGGGTGGCTCAGCAGTTTAGCGCCTGCCTTTGGCCCAGGGCGCGATCCTGGAGTCCCGGGATTGAGTCCCACGTCGGGCTCCCGGCATGGAGCCGGCCTCTCCCTCCTCCTGTGTCTCTGCCTCTCTCTCTCTCTCTCTCTCTCTCTCTCTCTCTCTATGTCTATCATAAATAAATAAATCTTTAAAAAAATAAAAATGATAAATCATGATTACAATAAAAAATTAAGCGTGCCTGTTTGAGATTTATTTTTATATGCTTATTTGCTATATATACACACAGGTGTGTGTGTGTGTGTGTTTTTAAGATTTTATTTACTTATTCATGAGAGACACAGAGAGATAGAGAGGCACAGACACAGGCAGAGGGAGAAGCAGGCTCAGGGTCCATGCAGGCAGCCCGACGTGGGACTCGATCCCTGGTCTCCAGGATCACACCCCAGGGCCAAAGGCAGCACTAAACCTCTGAGCCACCCGGGCTGCCTGTGGTTTTGGTTTTTAAACAAGATTAAGAACATTTGAGACTATAGTCCAGCTATTTGCTTTTTTTTTTTTAAACCTAGCAGTGTAGAGCGGACAACTTTTCCTCTCTGTACTTATAAATCTATCTACTCCATTCTTACTAATGGCTTTATACAGAGGGCCAATCTTTGCTTTTTTGAACCTAAAACTTACATAACTTGGTAGGCATACCTTATGAAAAATAACACAAAATTATGAATAAAAAACTCGATACAAAGGTGAAAATTTATTTAGAATGAGAAAAGAAATGACAATTCTAAAACTTATAGCTGACAATTATAACAGTCATCACATGTTGCTAATCCCTCCCTTGGAAGGGCTTTGAACTTGAGCTTGAGTTTTGCTTTAGGCTTTATGAACTTCACTGGCAGCCTACCCCTGGCTTCAGTACTTTTCTTTGGATTTGCCATGACTTATTTAATGAATGCCCGAATGATAGACATTTAACTTGTTCCTAGTTTTTTGCTATTATAAACAACGGTGCAACTGAGATCCTCATAGATTTGTCTATGCAGTTATGCTAGATTTTCCAGAAGTGGGATTGATGGATCACCAAATGAGCACAATTTATATTTTGATGGATGAAGCCAATTTGGTCTCTAAGAAGGCCGTGATGAACTGCCCTCCCACCAATAGTGTGTGCATCTACCTTTGTCCTTACACTAAGTCGGTAATGGATACTAATCTTTTCTTAATTTCTGCCAGTCTGGTAGGTAGAAATTTATTTAAAAAATATCTCTTTATTTGTAATACTGAGCTTTCTATATGTTTGTTAGACATTTATCTTTTTTCTTTCTTTCTTTCTTTCTTTCTTTCTTTCTTTCTTTCTTTCTTTCTTTCTTTCTCTTCCTTCCTTCCTTCCTTCCTTCCTTCCTTCCTTCCTTCCTTCCTTCCTTCCTTCCTTCTTTCAGAGAGTGTGGGCATGTGCATGAGTGTGGGGGGCAGGGACAGAAGGGGAGGCAGAGAGAGAGAGTGTTTTTTTTTTTTAAAGATTTTATTTATTTATTCATGAGACACACACACACACACACACACACACACACAGAGGCAGAGACAGACAGAGGGAGAAGCAGGCTCCACGCAGGGAGCCCGATGTGGGACTTGATCCTGGGTCTCCAGGATCACGCCCTGGGCTGAAGGCAGATGCCCAACCGCTGAGCCACCCAGGAGTCCCAAGAGAGTTTTAAGCAGACTCCATGCCGAGCACAGAGCCCACCCCGGGGCTTGATCCCATGACCCTGAGATCATGACCTGAGCTGAAATCAAGAGTCAGACACTTAACCAGCTGAGCCACACAGGTGCCCCTAGACGTTTGTATTTTTTCAATAAATTAAACATTCACTCATATCCTTTGTCTGTTGTTTTTCACATTAATTTCTTAGAGCTCCTTAAATGCTTTGGAAATGAATCCTTTGCTTGTTGTGTGTGTGTATTTTTTTTTTGCCTGTTGTATATTTGCAGATACTTTTACCTCATCTGCCTTTGTGATGTCACACTGAGGTTTTAGTTTTTATCTAGCTCTCTTTATTATTTTCCTTTGTGACACTAGAAAAAGGCATTTTTTATCTCAAGATCACAGAAAAGTTTGTTTTATTTTCTCCTGGATACTTTTTTTTTAAAGATTTTATTTATTTATTCATGAGAGACACACACACACAGAGAAACAGAGACATAGGCAGAGGGAGAAGCAGGCTCCACGTGGGGAGCCCGATGTGGGACTCGATCCCCAGGACTCCAGCATCACGCCCTGAGCCGGAAGGCAGACGCTTAACTGCTGAGCCACCCAGGTGTCCCTCTCCTGGATACTTTTAAAAATATTTTATTTATTTACTCATGAGAGACACAGAGAAGCAGACATAGACAGAGGGAGAAGCAGGCTCCCTGCGGGGACCCCGATATGGGACTTGATCCCAGGGTCCTGAGATCATGCCTGAGCCAAAAGGCAGATGCTCAGCCACTGAGCCACCCAGGTACCCCCTCTCCTGGACATTTATAATTGTGTCTCTATTGAGTCATCTTTCTGTCCCATCTGAGTAGTTTTGTGTATGGTGTGATGTATGAATCCAAAAATTTTTTTCTAAATTAATAGCCAGTTTTTCAAATGCCATTTATTGCATAGTTTCTCTTTTCTTCACTGACTTGAGAGTCTATCATTCTTATATAGTATTAGGGTCTTCTATAATCTGTTTCTGGGATCTCTCTTCTTCCATGAGTATTTTTGTCTATTCTTGCATGTGTATTTCATAATTTTTTAAAATTTTTATTTAAATTCAATTTGCCAACATATAATACCCAGTGCTCATCTCATCTTGTGCCCTCCTTAGTGCCCTTCACCTAGTTACCCTATCCTCTCACCTACTTCCCCTTCTGTGTATTTCATAATTTAAAAGTGATAAAAGTCTTTATAGACAATGCATTAAAATCTTCATGGAGATTATTTCTGGGTATTGGGATTCTGTGGATGATTTTAATTTCTTCTCATCTGTCTGTGCTATCCACATTTTGCACTGCATGCAAGTATACTTGCATGAAGTGGGGAAATGCCTGCCCTTTGTCTTTGGTTTAGAGACTCCTGGTTCTGTGGCCCTGGCACCTGGGCCAACAGGATGCAGGTTAATTTTGTTTTGGACATGTATGATGATAGAGGGATAATCAAGAGTTTTTGTTGTAGGTGAAGTGTTTTGGAACACATAAGCCACCACACTGTAATTTTTTTTAAGCTTTATTTATTTAAAAGAGAATGAGGGATCCCTGGGTGGCGCAGAGGTTTGGCGCCTGCCTTTGGCCCAGGGCGCGATCCTGGAGACCGGGGATCGAATCCCACGTCGGGCTCCTGGTGCATGGAGCCTGCTTCTCTCTCTGCCTATGTCTCTGCCTGCCTCTCTCTCTCTCTCTCTCTCTCTCTCTCTATCATAAAATAAAAAAAAAAAAGAGAATGAGCAAGCAGGGAGAGAGGAACAGAGAGAGTCTGAAGCAGAGTCCTTGCTGAGCACAGAGCCCAAGGTGGGTCTTGATTTTACAACATTGAGATTATGACACTGTGAGATCACAACCTGAGCCAAAACCAAGAATTGGTTGCTTAGCCCGCTGCACCACCCAGGCACCCCAAACCACACTGTAATTTCTGACATAGCAGGAATGGGGCAGAAGGGGAGAGCCTCAAGTGGATTCCCCGCTGATCATGGAGCCTGACTCAGAGCTCAATCTCAAGATCCTGAGATCATGACCTGAGCCAATATCATGAGGCCACTTAACCAACTAAGCCACCCAGGTGCCCCTTGTATGTCTTTTTTCAATGAACATTCACTGATCATGTACCACATGTCAGGCACCATTACAGTTACTGAGGATAAAATAATGAACAAAAAAAGACACAAATCCTTGTGCTCATGAAGCTCATAGTGCACCAGAGCATTCCTTGGTTTCAGCTAGGAAGGAAGAGTGGTAGATGGTCAGCATTCTCACCAGGCATCTAGGAAAGTGCGGGACTGGGAGGGGGTGGTGACCTGCCCAGGGCCCTCGGCACCACATGACAGTGGCCAGGGCGAGTCCCAGCTCACAGCACTGCTGAGTGGGCCTGCCTCTTTCCCACAGATAATCTTCCTGCAGACCAGGCCTCGCCTGCCACACATAGCCGCCCTGCTGAGCAGCTGCATCGATGGCTACATCTATGCCTGGTCCATCCACGGGAGCGGAGGCCTGTTGGGGAAGTTCCCTGTGGACTTCAAAAACCAGGGGGATGTGGGTGTGGGTGCCATGGCCACGGACGAGAAAGACTTGATCCTTGTCACAGGAGATTGTCAAGGGCACATCAAGGTGAGGAAGAACTGGTTTGAGATTGCGGGGCTGGCACCAGCCAAACTGTGGCCACATCTTTGCTGCATGTGGCACCAGCCTAGTCCCTACTCCCCTGGGTACTGGTTTCATTCATACAACAGTGGACAGTAGAAGTCCTCTTCTGCTGTGGTGAGCCCAGGAAATGAGTGAGGACATGGCTCCAAAGGGCCCTCCAACAAGCCTCTCCCAGTGGGTCCCCTGCAAAATTGTTCTCTTCCTGCAACCCCTCACCCCCAGCTGTGCATCTCTGCAATTAGGTGTCTTAGGAGCTGACTTCGTGCGTCGTGGTGAGACATGAGGCTAGAGTGTCTTGTCATATCCTCTGCATGCCCGCAAAGGGGTCTGGCCTAGGAGATGCCAGGGCCCCTTCTGACCCTGAGCATCTGGGTATTTCAGAGGTGTGAATGTTCACACCTCAGAGTGAAGAGAAATAGAGTGGGAGGGGCCCACAGTGTGAGTTGGTGTTGGGGTCATGGGGCGCTGGGCCACTAACCCCCATTTTATGCCTAGATTTGGGACATCGAGGATTATTGCATGTTCACCGACAAGACACCACTTCAACCCAGAGGGACAAACAAGTTCCAGTTCTTAATTCCTGAGCAGGTCCAGATCAACCTGCCACACTACATCCCCTTGAAGGAGAAGGAGGTAGGAAGATTACCAGGGGAATTGGAGCCAAACTATTGAACTGGGGCCAAGTTTCTCTCCCTGAGGTTCTGAGTCTTTCATGTTTCCTGTTCAAGGTAGTCTGGTTGATGTAGAAAAGCTTTTAGCCAGAAGTCACCATTAACCAGTAAAACACAAGTATACACACACCAAATATACCCACATGAATACACACGCACATGTAGCCATGTATCCCTAGCCACCCCTTCCGTGGGCTTTAATTTTTCCAATGAGGGTCCTGAGGTCATGAATTCTTTTTAAAATAAAGAAAATATTTGGGATACCTGGCTGGCTTAGTCAGTACAGCATGTGACTCTTGATCGCAGGGTGGTGAGTTTGAGCCTCACATTAGGTGTAGAGATTACTTAAAAAATAAAATCCTTTAAAAAATAATGAAAATACGTATGTATTTTGTTGAGTAGGTAATATATTTACATAGTTCAAAAATCACTTAATATTTCCCTAATAACGAATGAAGTTGAGCACCTTTTCCTTGGTTATCAGGAAAATGCAAATTAAGACCACAGTGTGATACCACTACACACCCACCAGAATGACTAAGACTAAAAACATAGGCAATACCAAATGTTGGCAAGGATCAACTGGAATTTCCACTGCTGGCAGGAATGTAGATTGGCATAATCCTTTTGGGGAACTGTTGGGCAGTAACTGCTAGACCTGAATATATGTCTACACTATGATCCATCAATTCCACTTTTAGGTTTATACCTAAGAGAAGCCTCTGCTCTGAAAGATAATGAATAAGAACATTTGATAGAATTACCATTTGTAATAACTCTACATTTGCAACAACCCACATGCCCATCAGTGGAAACTGAAAACATAAATTGCACTGTACATACTGTATGGAACAATATCCAGCATTAGAAATGAATTATTTGCAACTTATTACAAAGTGGGTTATTATTTGAACAATATAAGTGAAAGAAGACACAAGAGAAGACATATTATAAGTTTTATAGTTCCATCTATATAAAATACAAAAAACAGATAAAACAGACGTACCCTATTAGAAATGATTATTTTTGTGTGGGGCATGGAGTAGCTGGAAGGAGTCAGGTGGGGGGCTTTGTGGACTGACGATGCTCTGTTGCATAATCTGGGTCTGGTCATGCAGTTGTGTTCAGTTTGTAAAAATTTACTCTGGCATTTTTCTGTATGTATATTATATATCGATGAAGATTTTAAAACTCAGGAGATGCAAAAAGGCTTATAGTGAGGACACTTACTCTTGCTTCTGCCTGACCCCCCAAAACAGTTCTTGTTTCACTTCTATTGATTTTTTGTTATTCCTCCAGTATTTATTTATGCAAACAGAAGTACAGAAAGTCCTTTCCTCCTTATTTTTATGTAATGGTAGCAGGTCATATGCACCGGTACTCATCTTGCTTTTCTTATTCCATAATGTATCTTGGAAATCTTTGCATATGATTACACTATTCTCTATAGCTGTGTAATAAGCCATAGGATATATTAATTATATAATTCCCTTTGAAGAGAAACTGAAGTTGTTTTCGATCTTTTGTTCTTAAATGAAAGTGAGTAGTGCATGTTATTTCATATGTGTGAAAAATATGTCTGAAGGATAAATTCCTGGAAGTGAGATTTCTAGGTCAGAGGGTTGTATGTGTTTGCAGTTTTGAAAGCCATCTTACAGTCTTATGTGCCTTTTGAATCTCTGCACAAAGATATTATGTCTGGTCTGGTTTTAGTAAGAAGGAAATTTCACTGCATTCAAATCTGTTGGCAACCAGTCACTCATAGGTTCAATATATGAGGCATCTGTAATATTAATGCAATCATTTTAGTAACAGCAAGAAGTGTCATTTATTTATCGCTTACTGTGTCTCAAGAATTGTGATAAGTACTTTCATGTATTCTCTCACTGACTCTCCATAATAGCTCTGTGAGGGAGTTGTTACTTTTCAGATAAGGAAGATAAAACTGAAGACCTGGGTAAGTTCACATGACTGTCAGTGCTGGACCTGGGAGTAAACCCAAGTAAACTCAAGAACTTGTGCTCCTGACCATGTTAGAATATATTTTAAACATATTTGGATTATATTGTATGTAACTAGAATTTCTTCTAGTTAATTCTAGATTCTAGAATCTAATTCTAATTCTATCTAATTCTAGATAATTCTTCTAGAATTATCAAACATTCTTAAAATCAGACTTTCTAATGGTTAAGTCATATTTCACTTTAGAGAGGTATAATCATTTATTTAACTTATTGTCGGACATTAGAACAGCTTTAAATTTTTTATTAGCAAAAAAGGTGTCAGAAAATGGATTAATTCTTAGAAAGATATGAACTACCAGAGTGTGCTCAAAGAGAAATAGAAAATCTAAAGAAATAGGAAATTTGAATATTGTCAATAAAGAGATTGAATTAGTAATAAAACTTTCCACAAAGAAAAGCCCAGGTACAGATGGTTGTATTGGTGAATTCTACCAAGTAATTAAAGCGGAATCAATGTCAATTCTTTAAGAAGTCTTGCCAGAGTTTTCCAAGAGGCCAATATTATCTTGATTCTCTAACAAGACAAGGACATCACAAGAAAATAAAACTACATCTCTTATTAATATAGATGCAAATATCATCAATAAAATACTAGCAAATTGAATCCAGCAACATATGAAAAGGATTACACATCTTGACCAAGTGAGACTTCCCAAGAATGCAAGGTTGATTTAATACCCCAAATCAATTAATGTAACACATTTTATTACATGAATAAAGAATAAAAGACACAATCATCTTGACAGATGCAGAAATAGCACTTGACAAAATCCAACATCCTTTCCTGATAAAAACATTCAATTAACAAGGAGTAGAAGGAAACTTCCTCAACTTGACAAATTCCACCTGCAAAAAAACAGCTACTATCATACTTAATGATGAAAGATTAAACTCTTTCCTCCTAAGATCAGGAACAAGACAAGGATGTCTGCCCTTGCCACTATTACTAATGTTTTACTGGAAGGTGAATTTGGCAAGAAAATGAAATAAAAGGCATCCAGCCTACAATAGCATCAAAAAATTATTTAGGAATGAATTTACAAAAGTCATGTAAAACTTGTACTGTGAAAACTTCAAAACACTGTTGTTAGGTCAATGAAATACAATTAGGAGTGGAAAAATAACTCTCACATTTCTGGTCAATTGATTTTCGACAAAGGTGCCAAATCAAATGAAAGGAAGAATAGTCTTTTTAAACAAATGATGCTGGGAAAACTGAATATCCGCATCAAAAGAATGAACATATAACACAGAGAAAAACATATCTTAGAGCATACACAAAAATTAACTTCAGTGGTCATGGACCTAAATGGAAGAGTTAAAATTATAAAACTCTTAGAAGGAAGCATAGGGAGAAATTTGCATGACTCTGAGTTAGGCAGTATTTCTTAAGTATGACACCAAAACCACAAGCAACAAAAGGAACAAATAAATTGAATTTTGTCAAATTTAAAAACTTTTCAGCCTGCAAAAGATTCCATTAAGAAAGGGAAAAGATGACATATAGAATGGGAGAAAACATTTGCAAATCATATGTATGATAGGGGACTAGTATCCAGACTATTCAAAGAATTCTTGCACATCGACCATAAAAAGACAAATAACCCAATTAAAAATGGGCAAAAGGGGCAGCCCCGGTGGCGTAGCGGTTTAGTGCTGCCTGCAGCCTGAGGTGTGATCCTGGAGACCTAGGATCGAGTCCCGCATCGGGCTTCCTGCATGGAGCCTGCTTCTCCCTCTGCCTGTGTCTCTGCCTCTTTCTCGCTCTCTCTGAATGAATAAATAAACAAATCTTTAAAAAAAATGGGCAAAGGATCTACATAGACATTTCTTCAAGAAGATATGCAAATCCCAATAAGTATATGAAAAGATGCTGAACATCACTAGACATTAGGGAAATTCATATCAAAACCATAATGAGATCCCATGAGTGTGAACTCATTAGAATGTTTGTAGATAATAAATGTTGGCTAAGATGTGGGTAAATTGGAACTCTCGTACATTGCTGGTAAGGACACGGTGCTACAGCCGCTTTGGAAAACAGTTTAACAGTTAAAGTTAAACATAGAGTTACTGCATACCCAGCAATTTCACCTCTAAACATACAACCAAGAGAAATGAAGATATGTCCACACAAAATCTTATATACAGATGCTTATAGCAGCATTCATTGGAATAGCCAAGAAGTGAAAGCTACCACATGTTCACAATGGATGAATGGAATAAAGTAATGAAGTACTGATACAGGCTACAACATGATATACCTTGAAAACATGCTAAGTGAAAGAAGCCAGTCACAAAAGACCGCATATTGTCTGATACCATTTACACCAACCGTGGGGTGATGAAATCGTGTAAAATTGATCATGGTGGTGGTTGCAAACTCTATGAATATACTAAAAACCACTGAAGTGAGCACTCTAAGTGGGTAAATTGTATGTGACTTATATTGCAATAAAGCTGTGTTTAAAAGCTGTAAAAATGATAGAGCACTTTTTCCCCCTACAAATCTTTTTGTTGTTGTTGTTTGTAGTTCTTTATCTGCATGTCTGGTAACTTGTCTCATGGAAATAGTATGTAAAACAACATAAATCTTTCCAAGGCCTTTAATGTGTACTGCAAAACTGCACTCCAGGAAGCTTATAGAGTTTTGCACTTCTAATATTTTGCTTTATCCTTGCCAGGATAAAATATTTATTATTAGCAGTATTCATCTGAGTGGGGGTTCCTGGGGTTGATAGAATGCCTTGCTTATAGAAGGCATTAAATAAATAAAGATTTGAAGTGAAAAAAACTTTTGGTTGATTTTTAGATGCAAATTATTTCCTTTGATTTTAATGAAGATATCTTTGCTTATTAGTGATGTTGACATCTTATTTTATTGGCCATGTATAGTTTTGTGAATGATCTCTTCATGTCCTCTGCCTATTTTTCTTTTGTCATAACTATCTTTTGTAAGTAATGTATGATCACTTTAAAACATATTTAAAATATTAACTTAAATTATCATATGTATTGCCGATATTTCCCCCCAACAGGTCATTTGCCTTTTAATTTTATTTATGACTATTTTGAAATTGCAACTTTATTTTGTGTCAATTTTTCTTCCCATTGTGGTATTTCCAGTTTCTCTCACTTTCTTATTAAGAGGTAAGCTAAATGTTCATTCACATTTTCTTTTAGATGTTTTACATTTCATTAAAAAGAATTCTTTGACCCTTTTAGTGTTTCTTTAGTTGTTTTTTTTTAAGTAAAATTTTTTTTATACTGGAGGGTATTATGCTGAATGAAATAAGTCAATCAGAGAAGGACAAAAATTATATGGTCTCATTCATTTGGGGAATATAAAAAATAGTGAAAGGGAATAAAGGGGAAAGGAGAGAAAATGAGTGGGAAATATCAGAGAGGGAGACAGAACATGAGAGACTTCTAACTCTGGGAAATGAACAAGGGGTAGTGGAAAGGGAGGTGGGCGGGGGGTGTGGGTGACTGGGTGACGGGCACTGAGAGGGGCACTTAATGGGATGAGCACTGGGTGTTATGGTATGTGTTGGCAAATTGAACTCCAATATAAAAATAAATAAATAAATAGATAAATAAATAAATAAATTAATTAATTAAATTTAAAAAAAGGAGGCTCCATGCCCAACATGGGGCTCGAACTCCAGACCCTGAAATCAAGAGTCACATGCTCTGCCAAATGAGCCAGCCAGGCGCCCTAGTGTTTCTTTATTTTTAAGAAACACAATGATTTAAGTTTCTCTTGATAGTTTATCAGATATTCCAGCACTGTTTATGAGTCATCTCTCTATTACCACAGGTTTTCCTGCCACTCTTACATACCAATGTTTTTTATATAAATGTCTGTTGGTTTCCAAGCTTTTTTTCTATTATCTCCCATTGCTCTGTTTAAAGTTGTTATATTGTTTCTTAACATACTTGAGTATGGTAAAATACAACTCCCTTCAATACTGTTTTATTTAAAATAGTCCTGGTTATTTTTACTCATTTTCCAGTTAAGTAGAGTTCATCCTTTCATAGTGTAATGTGATCTATCTATCACTCCCTTGCTCACCCTGTTCTATTCCCAGTGCCCAGCTGAATAACTTTAGAAGAAGACCTGGTTCTTGTCCTAGCCTCACCACTTTCTAGCTATGTGGCTTTGGGCTCACTTTTCTCGTCTGTGAAATGGTGAGACTCATACACATCCCATAAGGTTGTTATGATGTTCAAATGGAATAATCTGTATAGATGCAGTTGGTAAACAACATAGCAATAAACAAATGCTTTTTAAAAAATGATTATACCAAAGGAGCCAGTGAGTGCCAGAGAAGTGCCAGGACTTACTTAAGTTAATGTGGGAACATGTCTAGAACTAGAACCTTCCAGAAGGCTCTGCTGCCTCCAGTCCTGGGTGCCCTCTGATGAACCTGTGTCTTGGTGTAAGTAGTTCTCCTATGCTGTCCCCTGTAGGTCGTGGCTGGCCAGACCATTTCCCTGGTTCCCCCCAAGCTTCTGAATGCCTGGAAGGGCCATTTGGATAGTGTGGCAGACATCCTGTATGTGGATAGCTTCCAGCTGATTATCAGTGCTGGCCACGACTGTGACGTCAAGGCTTGGAAACTCTCCGGTGACACCATTGGTATGGGTCCTGCTGAAGCTCAGCCATGACACATGGCCCATCATGGCCCTGTCCCTGTTAGAACATAAGCTGGCATAAACATTATATCTTGTGGGGTAGGGTTTCAGGCCACAGCTACTTTCTTTGCTCAAATAGTATCACAGGATGTGAGTCTTTCCAATTTTCCATTCAATAGTCTGTCCATTTATCCATCAACTGTCTCTCCACCCACTCACGTACCCAAAATCATTTGCCTGTGTATATTTTTGCAAATCCTATATCTGAGGAGGCACACTCATTTTTTCTTTTCAAAAATAAACTTGCTTGTTGAGTTATAACGTACATAAAGAAAAGCACACAAACCGAAAGGGTTCAGCTTGGTGAGTTTTCAGAAAGTAATCATATACCCATATAGCCATCATATAAATAGCATCTTATGTGTTCTTACACTTAGTACTTGCATGGCCTATCTTGGCGATCCGCCGGCCAGCAGCCTTCATTGTACTGCCACCATGTACCCTGTGGAGACCTGACGGAAGGATTGGTGGGTAGCTGCAGACTTGCCCTGTGGCTGGAACATCCTGTATTACAATCTGTCATGTCATGTAAGGCGGTTAAAAGTTCATGAAGGACTCATCTGGTTTCTCCTCTTCATGGAGGGTTCATACTCCTCTCATTATTCTGTCAGGGTTGAAAGCAGCCTTGGTCTCTTGTCTCTTATCAAAGGCTTATTCCTTTCTGAATTTTCACTTAGGTTTCCTTGCATTTTCAGCTCTTCAAAAACTTATTGACTATTTTTAAATTAGTCCTGTTCTATGATGAAATTCCTCATTTTATACTTTATGTTCTTGAACATTTTGATCAAAGTTATTTTAAAATTTTGATATTTCTAACATCTGGTTCACTTCTGGGTCTGTTTCTATTGCCTATCATTTCTTTTGGTTCCAAACATGACAGAGTAACGAGGACTGGATTTACATTCCCATTTTTTAAAAAGATTTTATTTATTCATGAGAGACACAGAGAGGCAGAGACATAGGAAGAGGGAGAAGCAGGCTCCCTCTGGGGAGTCCGATGTGGGACTTGATCCCAGGGCCCCGGGGATCACGACTTGAGCCAAAGGCAGATGCTCAACCACTAAGCCACCCAGGTGCCCCTATGTTCCCACTTAAGACAACTAAAAGCACTAACAAAATATATGTAACAGTTTCCAGACAACAGATACTAGGCAGCAAAGAATAGCAATCCCTGAGGTATAATTTACAACATAATATATTAATATATACTCTATATATACCATACACATATAATTATATATAATATATACTGTGTATAAGTACATTTGTAATATTATAAATTATATATAATATAGTAGAAATAGATATAATCTATAATGTATATAAATATTATGATTATATTTCATAATATGTTACAAAAGGTAGAAGAAAATGTAGCATGTTAAAGAGAGAACTGAATATATGTAAAAAGACCCAAATAAATTAGAAATTAAAAACAATAATATCTGAGATAAAAATACACTAGATAGGATTAATAGCAGATTAGATACTACAGAAGAAAAGAGTAGTGACTATGAAGACATAGTAATAGAAACAGAAAAAAAGACCATGTACACTGACATTTTAAGTATATGACATGATGATTTGGTATATGCATACATTGTGAAATGATTGCCACAATCAAGATAATTAATATGTCTATCACCTTACATAAGTCACTGGTTTGTTTGTTTGTTTTTTGGTGGTGAGAATGCTTAATATCTACTCTCTCAGCAAATTTCAAGTATGAAATATAGTATTGTTAACTGTAGTCACCATGCTGTACATTAGATTCCCCAGAACTTAATTCATCTTATAATTGAAAGTTTGTACCCTTTGCCAACATGACTTTTCAACCTATCTCCATCCTTATATTTAAATGTGGCTCCTTTGAACGACATTGTATTGAGTCTTATTTTTTTCATCTTGACAATCTTTGCCTTTTAATTGGATATTTAGTCCATTCAAATATTAATGAAATTACTTATACAGTTGAAGTCTGTCATCTTGATATTTGTTTTCTGTTCTTTGTTCCTTTATTCCTCCTTTTCTGCCTTCTTTTGGATTAGTCAAATATTTAGAACAATTATCTTGTTTAATTCCTCTATTTGCTTTTTAACTGTATGTTTTGATATTATTCTTTAGTGGTTATCCTAGAGATTGTAATATGCACTCCTTATCTGATGCTTGTGCAAGAATCTTACTTTCTTCTTCCCACTGTTTGTGCTATTGCTAGGATATATTTTACTTCTACATGTGTTATGTATTCCCACAAGTCATTTTTGTTAATGTTACTGTAAGCAGCCTGTTTCTGTTTTGTATTTACCCATATTTACCATTTTTCTGATGCTCTTCATTCCTTCCTGAAATACTAGGGTTCTTTTTTTTTTAAGATTTTATTCATTTATTCATGAGAGACAGAGAGAGAGAGAGAGAGAGAGGTGCAGAGACACAGGCAGAGGGAATAGCAGGCTGCATGCAGGGAGCCCGATGTGGGACTCGATCTCAGGTCCCCAGGATCACGCCCTGGACCAAAGGCAGCGCTAAACCACTGAGCCACCCAGGATGCCTGAAATACTAGGGTTCTATCTGCAATCATTTTCCTTCAGTCTGAAGAACTTCCTTTATTTTTTCTTATAGAGTGGGTCTGCTAGTGATTAATTCTTTAAAAAAATATTTATTTTGAAAGAGAGAGAGAGAATAAGGGCAGAGGGAGAGAGAGAATCTTGAGCAAACTCCCTGCTGAGTGTGGAGCCCGATGTGAGACTCAATCCCATGACCCTGAGATCATGACTTGAGCCAAAATCAAGAGCTGGACACTTGAGGTGCCTGGGTGGCTTAGCTGATTGAGTGATCAACTCCTGGTTTTGGCTCAGATTATTATCTCAGGGTCCTGGTACCAAGCCCCATGTGGGGCTCAGTGCTCAGTGCAGAGTCTGCTTGTCCTTCCCCCTCCCCCTCTGCTCCTTCCCTTGCTCACATTCTCTCTCTTAAATAAATAAATAAATAAAATCTTTAAAAAAAGTCAATTGCTTAACTGACTAAGCCACCCAGGCATCCCTGATAGTGATTAATTCTTTAAGCTTTTATTTACCTGAAAACATCTTTATTTTGCCCTATAATGTTAAGATTATTTTATTGAGCATAGAATTATCAGCTTGAGGCTTATTTTCCTTCAGTATTTAAAAAAAAAGATTTTCACATCATGTCTGACTTCTTTGTTTTCTCTTGAAAAGTCAAGTGTAAGATGATACTTTTTTTTTTTTAAAGAGAGAGTGTGAGTGGGGTTGAGGGGCAGAGGGAGAGAGGAGACAGGAGAATCTCAAGCAGACTCCATTCTGAGTGCAGAGCCCGTCACGGTGCTTGATCTCCTGAGATCATGACCTGAGTTGAAATCAAGAGTCTATGGTTTAGCCAGCTGAGTCACCAGACACCCCATAAGTTGATACTTTGAAGGTAATTTTTCTTTTTTCTCTGACTGCTTTTGGTTTTCAGCAGTTAGGCTATGATGTGCCTTAGTGTGGTTTTATTCCTGCTTAGAGTTCACTGATCTTTTTCAACCTGCGGGTTGGTATTTTTCATTAGTTTTGAAAAGTTGTCAAACATTATCTATTCAGTAGTGCTTTTGCCCATTCTCTCTCCTCCCATTGTGAGGTTCTAATTACATGTATGTTAGATCATTTGACTCTGTCCCCTATATCTCTCTATTCTATTCTCTCCATGTTATTTTTTTTTCAATTTCTGCATTCCAGTTTGGATATTTTCTGCTGACCTGCCTTCCAATTCATTAATCCTGTTTTCTTCTCTATGCAGCTGGCTATTAAATCCATTCAGTTAATTCTTAATTTTGTATTTTTTTTTTTTAGTTCTCAACTACCCATTTGGTTCTTTCCTATAGAACCCAATTCATTGTTGAAATTCTCCTTCTTTTCCTTCATTTTGTTCATATTTTCCTTTATTTTATTAAACTTTTTACAATAGTTATTTTAAGATGTATCTACCATTTCCAATGTCAGAATTATCTATAGTCTGATTCTAATGCTTATTTCTTCCTTTTATTATTGGTTATATTTTCCTGTCTTTTTACATATCATATGCATAAAAAGATCCACTCTGGGGTGCCTGGTGGCTCTGTTAATTAAGTGTCTGCCTTCAGCTCAGGTCATGATTCCGGGTCCTGGGTTGGAGCCCTGTGTTGGGCTCCTTGCTCAGTGAGGAGTCTGCTTCTCCCTCTCCCTTTACCTGCTGCTCCATCTGCTTGTGTTCTCTCTCTCTCTCTGTCAAATAAATAAAATCTTTAAAAATTTTAAAATAAAAGATCCACCCCTCCAAAACCCCCCAAAACAAAAACAACCCCCCCAACCAAAACCAAAACCAAAACTAAAACCAAATCCAAAACTAAATCCAAGACTTGTCTAGAGTTTGTATAAAAGAACTACAGAGACTAAAATTGGTCTGATTTTCTTCCAGTTTATGTGCTCATTCCTGTGTACAGGGCTGTTCATCTCATTGCAGTCAAGAGCTGAACTGGGTTGGGTCTAGACTGAAGCATTAGGTAGAGAGACTCAGCTTGCTTCTGTCTTCCATTGTGAAATCTGTCTCAAGGGCAAGGTCTGTGAAAGGCTTCTTCCTTGGGGGATCCCTAGGTGGCTCAGCAGTTTAGCGCCTGCCTTCCGCCCAGGGCGTGACCCTGGAGTCCCGGGATTGAGTCCCACGTTGGGCTCCCTGCATGGAGCCTGCTTCTCCCTCTGCCTGTGTCTCTGCCTCTCTCTCTCTCTCTCTCTCTCTCTCGTGTCTCAAATAAATAAATAAATAAATAAATAAATAAATAATATATTATTTTTTTAAAGTCTTCTTCCTCTTTGTCTCCCAACAATCTCATTCTGTCTAGCTCAACTTCCAGGCCCTCAGCTCTCCCAGGGCTTAGTAAATGTCCTGTGGAAAACACAGCTATGCATGTGGAACTCCACTAGCTTGATCCATCCTGCCAGCCAGAATGGCTGTCAGAAGCTCTTATGGTTTCTTTTTCTTCCAGTAGCTTCTCTCTGCCTAAGCAGAGCCTGATGCTCACCCAGCCTGTGCCCAGAGTCAGAGAATGCTCCCAGAGAAGGAAGCAGCTCTCAATTTTAGTTCTTCTAAGAAGGAATCTTTTCTTTCTGTAATTTCAGTTCATCTTCTCCTTTTTCGCTTCTACAGCTCTCCAATTACTTTTTAAAATGGGATTTTTTTTACTATATATATCTTTTAATTTTTTAAAAAATTCTGCAGCAGGAGAATGGCCTACTCCTTGCTCTACCCTACCCCAAAGCAGGACTCATGTTTCTCTACTCACCCTACCTGCTTTCTCTTCCAGCCCCGTTCCTCCCCAGTGCCACCCCAATCTCACAGCTGATGGACACCTGATCATTTTGTGTCATTGCTACTTTATACATGAGCTATATAAGCCCACCTGAGGATCTCTTAGTCATCACCACAGCACTCTTTCCATCTCAGCCTACATGTGGGGCAGGATTCATTGGCCTGAGCTCCAAGCATTTTTCTAGGGTTAGTGTCTGGTTCTTTCAGGTATTTGTAGAGTAGTCAGCATAATGCCTGGCATGTGGTAAGCATCATGAGGTGCAGGCCAAGGGTAAAGGGTTGCTAGCTGACTCTTGAGGGTGGAGGGTACAGGGAAGAAGGTTCAGAGGAGGGGAGGTAGACTGGTTCTTGTTACTGAGCTGGATCTGATTAAATCACAGGGACATTTGGCGTGAGTGTTTGGAAAAGGTTGCAGGATATTCAGATGGTTGGTGATCTTGCACTGAGAAAAAGCTCAGAGGAGGAGGCTGACTCTATAGATGCTGCCCAGAAGGCCTTCCGTCCAGAGCTGCAGTGAGTTATCACAGCCTACCTGGTCTTTGCTGGCTCAAGGAGGGGGGGATGTTGCAAGCCTCTCTAGGTCCTGGGAAGCCTCATCTGGCTTGGGTAGTGCTGGGCATCTTTGGAGAGGGCCTTCAGAAGGCCAGAGGCTTGGGACCTGCAGGAAACTTGACTGTACAGGTGGCAGTGGTGGCCTAGTGGAGCCCAGTTCAGCTGGAAGTTTGAGTGGTACAAACCAGCAGAAAATATACAAATGCAAGCCCTTAGATGATCCCCTGCCCCAGAGCCAGGTTCAGATTAGCCAGGGCTGGCTTCCCTGTGGAGACCATTTCTATGTGGCTAGAGGTCCCTGGTAGGAGAGTGCCCAGGGTCCTGGTCCTGAACAGATGCTTGTCCATTTTCCTGATTCATGGGGAAGTCAGGCTGCTCACTACCTCTTTCCTCTACAAGTTCCTTTCCTCCCACATTCCACTCTTATTCCTGACCAAGTCTCAGATAATTTGAGGTCATTCCAAAAAAAATTTTATTGAGGTCTTGCTGACTGCCAGACTCCGTGCTAGGTTATAGAGATTCAAAGCATGCAGACACAGGTCCTGCCTCAGAGAACTTACGGCCCTCTTGTGGAGATGGATGTGTGAACTCGTGGCTGCCATTTTATGTGACAACTGATGGGACCATTAAAAGCAGGAAAGGCTTAAAGGACAGTCACCTCCTTGGGTGGATCAAGTGAAAAAAAGTTCATAGGAGAAGAGATTTTGGAGTTGGGTTTTGATATGCAAATAGGAGTTTTCTGGGCACTTATGGTCCTTGTGGCTCCACTCTTGTCAAGGCATACATCTTTACAGTCCTGTGTGGGGTTCACAAATGAGGCAGGGACAGGGGTTCCCTGGGAGGGAGAGGATGTTTAAATATTCCACAAGGGAAAAAAATATTCCACAAGGGGAGGCCCAGGTAAGATCAAGATCGGGTGTCAGGCCTCCATGGGGAAGAGCAGAGGGAGGTAGGAAAGGTCACAGGACTTGTTGGGGGTCAGTTTAATCTGGACTTTGCTAACATTCACTGGACACTTGTTTAATGGTGGGTCCTGGGCAGTATGGCCTCAGGGGAGGGATAAAGTTGAGAGAGGGTCGGGCCCAGAAGGGAGAAACCCTCTTGGGCTCCATGGGAAGGCCACCCCATTTTGTGGTGCAAGGGCATCTTATGAAGGAAAGCCCCTCACATCAGGGAGGAGCGGGCTCTTGCCGAGGCCCTGGTGTACCAGCGGCGGGAGCAGGTGGCACTCATGGCTCTCCTGAATGGGAAGGCAGACGCAGAGGCTGAGGCTTGGGGTAAGCTGCAGAGGATAACCCAGACGTCCCCATGGGCTGGAGAGCACTACTCAGAAGACGTTGAGCACAGCTGGCTCGAGTGGGAGTCCAAGGGCAAGCAGGTGAGGCTGCGTGGGGGGCCCAGGGGCATAGAGGGGCCTGCAGCTGTCTGCCCGAGGCTTCATGCTTGCTGCGACTCCTGCAGGTGAGCAAAATCGTGGGAGGAGCATACAAGCCCAAGGACCGGTCTCGGAGTCCCGGAGTCCTGTCCACCAATGTGCAGTATGGCTGGATGAAGCACCAGGTGAGGCGGGGTGGTGCTGGCTCCCTGAGATGCTGGGGCTGGAGGCTGGGGAGCCCATCTCCATCAACAGCCACCCTTGTGCCCTCAGGGCCCCCTGGCGGGGGTCAAGGGAGCATCAGTCCTTTGACCGAATTCTGGGGCCCTAGGCAGTTCTGGGATGAAGCTGGTCTGGCTGGTTTGTTTGCACGGCCGTGGTTAAGGCCATGGACACAGGTTTTGTCTTTGAGGACACACCTCACTGGGCCATGGGAGGAGGTTCTCTGTGGGCCTGGTGCTTCTGATAGACTTCAAAGAATTTCCCAGAGTCTGCGGCTATTCCTTGGGCTGTTTGTCTTCATACTGTGGGCTGCTCCAGAGTGGACACAGGGTCTCATGGTGCCATGTAAGAAATGGAGGGAATGGAAGGGGGCTCTGCTTGGGGAAAGAAAAAGAGAGCCGGAGATTGTGCAGAACAGCTTTGAGCCCAAGCCTGCCTCTCCCTTGGGCAGACTCTGGCCTTTTGCAGAGGCATCTGCCATAGGGGGCATTTATGAGAGCTTTCTCCCTCTGCGGAGAGCACTTGAAGTGAGAGCACCCCTCTGTCCGAGGATGGGAGCACTCCTCCCTCTTAGAAATAGGCCTCAAAATGCAGCCTGGTGAGTGCCCGGGAGAGATGGGGGCCCCCCTCGGGTCCAGCTTGAGGCCTCATTCTGAGATAGGGGCAGTCCCATGCTGACCACAAAGTGTTGTTGGAGAGGGGCTGGATGCCAGGCCTGGCACACAGTGGCTTGCAGCTCCAGTGGGCTGTGGTTATTGGTGAAAACCATGGTACTCTGGAGACTTCTTTTATACAGGAAGACCCCAGGGCCCCTCCTCCTGTGAGCCTGCTCTTGGTCCTGGGTGAACCCCTGAACTCCCCTGCTCTATTCCCCACAGATTTCACCTCAGATCTACCAAAGCCTACACTTCAACCAGCTGTCACCCACCCACACACCTGACTTCCTGGTGCACAATATCCTAGGGCATCACGGCCAGCACATCTACCTGGTGACCCACAATAGCCAAAAGGACCTGGATCCTGAAGAGACCAACTCGTCTACTGCCTCTGTCTCCCCCAGCGACACCCTCACCCCGAAAGCCTCAGGCTCCGGGTTCCTGGAGTCCGCCTTGCCCACCTCCCCGTACCTCCAGCCTCCTGGTATGTCCCAGCCATCCAGGTATGTCACGCAGAGGTCGGCGTCCCCCATGCCTGTTGCCTCATCTATCAAACTGCTCTCAAGACCTCTGAAGGCCGCCCTTTCATCCTCCATGAAGAAGAGCCACCGCGTCAGGTTCTGAGGTGGCCTGGCCTCTCTCCAGTCCTGCAGCACAACGCCCAGGCCCACGGGGATCCTGTCTGTCCCTGGCTTATTACAAATGCTGCCAGACCCACAGGCTATAGCCTTTCTCCTATGGACCTCCTTCTTCACCAGAGCCCCAGAGAAGAAAATAAATATTTGCTGATATCTGAGTCCCATAGGCCAGGAGGTTGGGTTTTGTGTCCCTTGCCTCCTTGGATACCAGGCTGTGTCTGAGATTGAGCCATGTTCCCCTCAATGGGGCCCCGGCTGGATGCAGGGGAGAGTCCCCTCACCCAGGACACCTGGTGCAGCTGTCTGGCAGTGAAGCACAGGCCCAGGGCCTCGAAGATTCCTTGGTGATGTGGATGTGGCTGGTGGGTGGTGCCGCTGGGATGAGCTGTTTGCTTCTGAAACTTGGTTCAGCCTCATAGCTGGAGTGAGACCCAGCAGCCATCTAAGCTGGTAGCGGCTGTGTGTCTCCTGCCCTGCTGTGTGCCTGTCCTCCTCTGCCATCAGGCACTCAATAGAGGAAATCCAGAATTTACAGACTGTTCTGCCCCTCATGCAAGGGAGACTCAGAACCATGGTGGAGGGCACTTCGGCTTGGCCCTGCCACTGGCACTCTGGACCTGGGTTCTCCAGAGCCAAAGCCTCTTGATCCTTCCACTATGTGCTGCTCTGGGCAGTGTCTTGGGTGTAGAACTCAGGGTGGCGAGGGCAGTGGTAAAAGCAGTGGCCCAGAGATGGAGAGAGAGGCGTGGGGATGGGATGTTGCAATTACCAGGGCTCAGGGGATTTTCTTAAAGGCCTCTGTGGAGCCCTTGCCTGGAGGGAGATTCAGGTCCCCTTTAGGACCTGAGATTCTGCATTCGGGGCCATCTGGCTGGACACTGGGGGTCAGGACAGGTCAACCTCGGGAAGCTTCCTTCTGACTCTGTGTGAGGCCTCCCTTCCCCTTGAGGACCTGGCCCCGTTACAGCAACATTTTCCTGCCTCTGCCCACACATTTTGGTTTAGGCGCATGGTAGGTACCCAAGAAAGTCTGAGTCCTACCTTCTACTCCAGCAGCAGCTAACCATGGGGATCTGTCTCTGCCGAGGGAGCCTGCAGGTGGCCCCTCTGACTGGCAGGCACCCCTGGCGCAGAATCCCAGGCCCAGAAGGCACCGCCACGGTGATGTGAGCCACCCTTTGTCTCTCCTACTGCTCACACTGGCCCCTCCTGGCCAGAGCCCTAGATGGGGTATGGGACTGATTATCCTGGAGCATCAAGGTCAGAAGGAGCTTAGAACCCAGCTGGGGAACTGGAGGTCAGTGTCACACAGAGTTGGTGAGTGGGTAAGCTGGGTTGGTGGCCTGGGGTCCTGTCTCCTGGTCACTTGTGCTTGCCTGAGCCCCATAGCATCCCCCTCCCCTCCCCAGGCCCAGGCGCCGGCACAGCCACCCCAGTCTCTTCTCTGCCTGCTATCTGCCTTCTGCATCAATGGCCTTAAAAAAAAAAAAAACAAAAAAAACCTTATATTTAGCTCTCTTCTGATTCTAAAAGTAGAACAGGCCGAGTACAGAAAAATCAAGAAAATACCGAAAAGCATAAAAGCCAATAAAAACCATCTGGATTCCACCTCCCAGAGATCAGTTTGGTGTATTTTCCTCTAGATGGTTTCCTGTCTTTGCACACACATGTGCTGACCTCACATACACATGCACTCACGCCCTCGAGTCCCTCACACTCATTCACTCCTCATACTCTCACACCCACACAGCCCATGACCTCGGCGTCCAAGCTTTGAATGCAGCCTTCCTCACGTGATGGGCAAGTGACCCTTCCTGCTGTTCCCCATGGCCCCCCCAGTGATTGCTGCGTCCAGCCCCTCCCTGGTTCACCTTCTGCAGGATGGAGGGCCGCTGCCAAAGCCGCTGTTGACGGGAGCAGGATGGCACAGAAAGAGGCTGAGGAGTCATGCCCCCCCACTGGCAGACTGAGGGTGGATGTCCCCCCCCAGGAGATGGGGCACAAGGGCACGGGGGTGGGGAAGTGTGGGGACAGCCTTGTTCTCAGAGAAGAGCCATCACTGACCTTGTTTCTGTCATCACTTCCCTATTTCACGCTTGTTCAACACTTGCTGAACGCCCACTGCGTGCCAGGCACCGCCCTGGCCACTGGGAACCCGAGAATGAGGAACACGCAGCCTTCGCCTACTGGGGACACAGGCCGCTCCTCGTAGTGTGAGTGCATCTCCTCCCTGGTTTATCCTACAGCGTATCTTACTGAGCACAAGCATCGGGCATCCAGGGGGAGGCAGGTGGAGCTCATGGGACAGTGTGCAGATGCAGTGTGGACTGGAGAAGCCATCTGAAGTGGCTTCCTGGACAAGGGGGCCTTTAGCCCAGAGCCAGCCAGGACCTTTGTGTTTGCTGTCTTCTCTGCCCGAAAAGGGCTCCTGTTGGATCAAAGGACCTTGCCTTCAGGCGCCCCTCATACATCCCTTCAGTGCCTGATACCCTGGCCCTCTCTACCCCTGCCCTGCTCTATTCTCCCCGCAGTATTTCTTTGTGTGTCTATTTACTACTGTGCCCCCCGCCCTGGGCAGGGCCATGTCTATCTTGCTCCCAGTTCCCACGCTTGGTGCAGAGGGCAGCGGACCACAACAGCCGGGAGATGGTGGTGGGAGGTCTGAGGTGGGCTGGAGAGGAGCTCTGGGCTGCTTGGGGTTGCTTTTCCTTCAAAACCTTTTTTTCCCCTTTTTACTTCAAGAGCTTTTATTTTTATTATTATTTTAAATATTTTATTTATTTATTCATGAGAGACAGAGAGAGGCAGACACAGCAGAGGTAGAAGCAGGCTCCCTGCAGGAAGGCCAATGTGGTACTCGATCCTGGGACCCTGGGACCACGTCCTGGGCCAAAGACAGATGCTCAACCACTGAGCTGCCCATGTGCCCCTCTTCAGGAGCTTTTAAGAACTATCATATTTCCTCCATTCTCAGATAAAATTTAAAAATTGTATTAAACAGTTTTAAAAAGGTTTCAGTGATGGGATGTGTGTCATAATTGCACGATTTTTTCCCCTTGGAAAGCTGTTGGCACCACCCATAGGGACAAGGCGGTGAGGACACGCCTGCTGGGGATGGAGCGCCCCCTGGTGGAATGAGATCCCGTCACAGCCCTGAGCCAGGGTCTAGTTCTTGCAGCCGGGTGAGCAGAGGTGACAACGGGGCTAAAAAACTTTCCAATTTGCCAGATGTTTTACATGTTCTTACAAAGTCCCTATGCAGCAGGCCATTTATACCCATTTTACAGACGAGAAAACAGAGGCTCACACAGGAGGCTGAGTTGCCCAGGGTCACCCAGCCAGGAAACATCAGAGCTAGGTTTCCAATTGGGGATTTCAGGTGTTCCTGCCCCTTCTTGGCCAAAATGCTCAGGATTCGGGGGTGCCACATTTGGGAGGGGGCTGTCCCTTGAACACTGGAGACAGAAAAGTGGTAGAAAGATTCCTTGTGACAGGAGACCCTCACCTCATGTGGCAGGCAAGGTCAAGAGTCAGGAAAGGGAGTGTCCCGCTGCCTGGACACGCTGTTCAAACTTTCCAGTGTGCTGGGTGAGCAAGTCACTCACTTTCTCTGAGAGAGCATTTTGTCTGTCCTCCTCACCTGTAGGCTGGGGCACATACCTTGGGGTGTGGGGCTGGTAGGGAGTGGGGTCACCGGAGTCTTGGTAGCTGGAGACGCTGTCCCATGAGTCATTTCCCTTAGCGGAAGGGCAGCAGGGCTCTGAGTCCCACTAGTTTAGTGAGCACATCACCACTCTGATGCTGGAACTCAGCCCCGCTGGCGCGGGATACAATGTGCCTCTGTCATGGGAATTCAATGAGATGATCACCGGGCCTGGCCTGGAAGAGGAACCACTTTTTATTGAGTAGTTATTTTGCCCCAGGCATGACCACATATGATCGTTGTGGTGATGGGACTCAGAGAAGTTGAGTAACTGGCTAAGGTCACACAGCCAGGAAGTAGCTATATTCCTAAGCAGCCCTCCGTCTCACCTCCGCCTTAACAAGAAAGACTGACATTTATTGAGCACTTAGCATGTGCCAGGCACTGTTCAAAAGACAGTTCTGTTTACTTTTAATCCTCACCACAATTCAAACAACTGGCTACTGATATTAACCCAATCTGCTAGATAAGGAAACCAAGGCCCAGAGATCCACAGAGAAGTGTCTTGCTGGTTAATGGTGGGGTTAGGTTTTGAACCTGGGAAGAAGCCTGGCTGCAGAGCCTGTTTTTTTTGTCTTTGTTTTTCCTCTTCTCTCTCTCTTTTTTAAAATTTTAAAGATTTTATTTATTTGAGAGAGAGAAAGAGCAAGCAAAGGAGCACGAGCAGGAGGGAAGGGCAGAGGGAGAGGGAGAAGCAGGCTCCCCTGATGAGCAGGGAGCCTGACCTGGGGCTCGATCCCAGGACCCTGGGATCATGACCTGAGGCCGAAGGCAGATGCTTAACTGACTGAGCCCTCCAGGCGCCCCTTTCCCTTTTCTTTTTACAGAGCCGATGTTTTTCATCAGTACTTTATCTCAGGTGTCTCTGGAGGTACTTGATACCCAGGACTGGTGAGCTATTGTTGCTGTCACTGTTAGGACAGGCCCACGCTGGAGGCCAGGGGAGAGGGGTGCAGTGACCCCACGGCCCCTGCCCAGTGAAAGCAGCATCGGGTGCCTGGGCGGAAGATGGTCCCCGGCTCAGGGCCCATGGACTTACCAGCTCCTCTGAGTGGCTGGCGGAGGAGCCACATCCTTTTTGGAAAGAATTCCATCAAGATAGGGAGAATAAACAGGGACGTGGCACTGGACCCATGCCAGAGCTGGACCCACGAGGGCAGGAAATCGACATGGGGGACACCTGCCAACGCCCCTCTGACGTTTGTTGAGAACACTGTACCTCCTCACACGGCCTCAGGGCCGCAGTCTGGTCTGAGCCTCAGAACAGCGCATGCCAGGCAAAA